GTATTTGGAGAGTGGCTTCTAAACTCAAGGTGATATTTCTTTTATCAATCTATTCTTATATGCATTCTCTCATTTTCATTTGATGCATCGTTGATATTGTTTTTCATTCAACTTTTTAAGTTATGTTTCAACAGGATCTATGGTTTCGATACACTCTAGGTTTTATTGATATACTCAGTGTTCAGAGAAAAATAGAAATTATTTCTCTCTTTCGGTTTTCGATACACTTTAGGTTTTAGCAATATACTTGAGGTTCAAAAAAAGCTCAAAATCATTTCTCTCTTTCTGATCCAATGATTTTATCATATTATGGTCATAACTTAAATATAGCTATATAATATTATTTTTCCGTTTTTATATTTGAGTAGTTTAGTCTAAACTCAAGGTAATGTTTATTTTTTACTCTATTCTTATTTTCCTTCACCCTTTCTCTCTTGATACATCGTTGATGTTGTTACTTGTCTAGATTTAACTACAATTAGATTTAATTTTACTTTTCTGAAACACTTGTGATTCTTTTGATACACTTGAAGTTATTTCGGTACGATCGAGGTTTGGAAAAAGCTTGAAATCGTTATCTCCTTCTCAATCAGATGGTATTGTGGATTTCCGGTCATTATTTCTTAGTGATATAGTATTGTTTTTCCCTTTACATAATAGAGTAGTCAAGAAATCAGAGATCTCGCATTTTAATTCCAGTATTTGGAGAGTGGCTTCTAAACTCAAGGTGATGTTTCTTTTATCAATCTATTCTTATATGCATTCTCTCATTTTTCCTTTGATGCATTTTTGATATTGTTGTTCATTCAATTTTTTAATATATGATTAAAGAGGATCTATGTTTTCGATACACTCTAGGTTTTATTGATATACTCAATGTTCATAGAAAAATAGAAATTATTTCTCTGTTTCGGTTTTCGATACACTCTAGGTTTTCGCAATATACTTGAGGTTCGAAAAAAGCTCAAAATCGTTTCTCTTTTTCTGAGTCGAATGATTTTATCTTATTATGGTCCTAACTTAAATATAACAATATAATATCATTTTTCCCTTTTTAGATTTGAGTAGTATAATCTAACCTCAAGGTGATTTTAATTTTTTTTTTTAACCGTTATCATAATTGTTCCTTTTTCCTTTTCCATCAAATTGTTGATGTACTCATTTCTCAAAACTATAATTTAGCTGTCAAGAGTATTCAATTTTTTTGCATTCTACAATTATTTAGAAAGTAAAATATAAACTCAATGCCTTTTTTTTCTTCTTTAAGATTAAAGTAATTGTTGAATGTTATCTTTTGGATAAAAAATAGAGATGGAATATAATATACATTTATAAAATTAATACATTGATTTGATAATGTTAGCCATTTTTTATTTGTTCAATGTTCTTAAGCTAGGCTCCATTAGAATAATCGGTGTATCCGTATCACTCTTGTATATTTTCTTTAAGCAACCCTACAAAGAAAAAAAAGTAAAATAATCAGTATATCCGTAACTCCTATATATTTTCGTGAAGCAACCCTACAAAAAAGAAAGAGTAAAATAATCGGTATATCCGTTACTCCTATATATTTTCTTGAAGCAACCCTACAAAAGCAATAAATAAATAATCGGTGTATCCATAGTCTATGTATTTTCTTGAGAAAACCCTACAACAGAAAAAAGAAAAGATGTTGAATAATCGGTATATCCTTATCACTCCTATATAATTTCTTGATGTAACCCTACAAACAAGAAAAAGTAGAATAATCGGTTATTCCGTATCACTCCTATATATATTTTTTGAAGCAACCCTACAAAGAATAAAGAGTAGAGTAATTAGTATAGCAACCCTACAAAGAATAAAGAGTAGAGTGATTAGTATATCTGTATCACTCAAACTTTCAAATTTTATATTTTGAGATGACAATAGTTAATGTATTTGATTTTTTGAATGAAAACTAGTGATTGAATATGATATATTCTTGTTAATAAGAGTGCATGGAAAAGTGTGAAAATAAGTTTAAAAAATAAGTAAAGAAACCCTTAATAAACATTATTTTAAAATTTGGTCATTTTGGATTTGTTCATTGTTCATGGCAAGGCCCAATTCAATTAAGTGTACCGACATTGAATATAAATTTCTATATCTAAATTATTTCTCTTTTTCCCTGGTCAGATCAATTAGGTGTATGTTAGTCATTTTTATTTTTTCTCTCTACAGACAGCGAACATGCATATTTCTCAACTCTTGAATTGAGTAGTTGAGAGTTCGAAGTTTTGGAATGTACGTCTAGTATTTGGAGAGTCACATTGAAAACGAGGTGATGTCTCTTTTACAATACATTATCATCTCCTCCTTTTTCTCTTTCGATACAATGTTGATGCTATTATCATTTGATTTTAATGAAATTTCAAGCGAACCTACATTTTTATGCACTTGAGGTTCGGTTCAATGACATACTATAGGTTTGAGAAAAGCACAATATTTTTTCTTCTATCATTATCTCTTACAAAATTCAGCCATATCTTAGTCATAATCTAAAATAAAATTTATAAAATATTATTTTGTTTCTTTACATAAAGCAAACTGCACACATTTTTTAAATCTAGAATCGGGTAGTCAATACTTAGATTTCACACTCTACATCTATTATATTGAGAGCGAGATCTAAACTCAAGGTGATGTTTATTGTTTACTCTATTCTTATATTCCTTCACTATTTCTCTCTTGATACATCGTTGATGTTGTTATTCATCTAGATTTAACTACAGTTAGATTGAATTTACTTTTTTGAAACATTTGCGATTCTTTTGATACACTCAAGGTTATTTCGATACGATCGAGGTTTGGCAAAAACTAGAAATCGTTTATCTTCTTCTCGATCAGATGATATTGGGGATTTCCAATCATTATTTCTAAGTGATATAATATTGTTTTTTCCCTTTACCTAATTGAGTAGTAGAGAAATCGAAGATCTCGCATTTTAAATCCATTATTTGGAGAGTGGCTTCTAAACTCAAGGTGATGTTTCTTTTTTATCAATCTATTCTTGTATGCATTCTCTTATTTTTCCTTTGATGCATTGTTGATGTTGTTGTTCATCCATTTTCTTAAGTTATGATTCAACAAGATCTAGGTTTTCGATACATATACTCAATGTTCATAGAAAAATAAAAATTATTTCTCTCTTTCGGTTTTCGATACACTCTAGGTTTTAGCAATATACTTAAGGTTCGAAAAAAAACTCAAAATCATTTCTCTCTTTTTGATCCAAATGATTTTATCATATTATGGTCATAACTTAAATATAGCTATATAATATCATTTTTTCCCTTTTTAGATTTGAGTCAGTTTAATCTAAACTCAAGGTGATGTTTATTTTTTACTCTAATTCTTATTTCCCTTTGCCCTTTCTCTCTTGATACATCGTTCATATTGTTACTTATCTAGATTTAACTACAATTTGATTGAATTTACTTTTTTGAAACACTTGCGATTCTTTTGATACACTCAAGGTTATTTCGATACAATCGAGGTTTGGCAAAAGCTTGAAATTGTTTATCTGTTACACGATCAGATGAATTGTGGATTTCCAATCATTATTTCTAAGTGATATAATATTTTTTTTCCCTTTACATAATTGAGTAGTCGAGAAATCGGAGATCTCGCATTTGAATTCCAATATTCGGAGAGTGGCTTCTAAACTCAAGGTGATGTTTCTTTTATCAATCTATTCTTGTACGCATTCTCTCATTTTCCTTTGATGCATTGTTGATGCTGTTATTTATCCATTTTTTAAAGTTATGATTCAACAAGATCTGGGTTTTTGATACATATACTCAATGTTCATAGAAAAATTGAAATTATTTCTCTCTTTCGGTTTTTTATACACTCTAGGTTTTAGCAATATACCTGAGGTTCGAAAAAAGCTCAAAATCATTTCTCTCTTTCTGATCCAAATTATTTTATCATATTATGGTCATAACTTAAATGTAGCTATATAATATCATTTTTTACCCTTTTTTAAATTTGAGTCGTTTAATCTAAACTCAAAGTGCTGTTTATTTTTTACTCTATTCTTATATTCCTTCACTCTTTCTCTCTTGATACATTGTTGATGTTGTTACTTATCTAGATTTAACTACAATTTGATTGAATTTACTTTTTTGAAACACTTGCGAGTCTTTTGATACACTCGAGGTTATTTCGATACGATCGAGGTTTGGCAAAAACTTGAAATCTTTTTTCTCTTTCTCGATCAGATGATATTGTGGATTTCCAATCATTATTTCTAAGTGATATAATATTGTTTTTTCCATTTACATAATTGAGTAATTGAGAAATCGGAGATCTCGCATTTGAAATCCAGTATTTGGAGAGTGGCTTCTAAACTCAAGGTGATGTTTCTTTTATCAATCTATTCTTGTATGCATTCTCTCATTTTCCTTTGATGCATTGTTGATGCTGTTATTCATCCATTTTTTTAAGTTATGATTCAACAAGATCTAGGTTTTCGATACATATGCTCAATGTTCATAGAAAAATTGAAATTATTTCTCTCTTTCGATTTTTAATACACTCTAGGGTTTAGCAATATAGTTGAGATTGGAAAAAAGCTCAAAATCATTTCTCTCTTTCTGATCCAAATTATTTTATCATATTATGGTCATAACTTAAATATAGCTATATAATATCATTTTTTCCCTTTTTAGATTTGAGTCGTTTAATCTAAACTCAAGGTGATGTTTATTTTTTACTCTATTCTTATATTCCTTCACTCTTTCTCTCTTGATACATCGTTGATGTTGTTGCTTATCTAGATTTAACTAAAATTTGATTGAATTTACTTTTTTGAAACACTTGCGAGTCTTTTGATACACTCGAGGTTATTTTGATACAATCGAGGTTTGGCAAAAACTTGAAATCGTTTATCTCTTTCTCAATCAGATGATATTGTGGATTTCCAATCATTATTTCTAAGTGATATAATATTGTTTTTTCCATTTACATAATTGAGTAGTCGAGAAATCGGAGATCTCGCATTTGAAATCCAGTATTTGGAGAGTGGCTTCTAAACTCAAGGTGATGTTTGTTTTATCAATCTATTCTTGTATGCATTCTCTCATTTTCCTTTGATGCATTGTTGATGCTGTTGTTCAACCATTTTTTAAGTTATGATTCAACAAGATCTAGGTTTTCGATACATATACTCAATGTTCATAGAAAAATTGAAATTATTTCTCTTTCGGTTTTCAATACACTCTAGGTTTTAGCAATATAGTTGAGGTTGGAAAAAAGCTCAAAATCATTTCTCTCTTTCTGATCCAAATTATTTTATCATATTATGGTCATAAGTTAAATGTAGCTATATAATATCATTTTTTTTTCTTTTTTAGATTTGGATCGTTTAATCTAAACTCAATGTGATGATTCTTTTTTACTCTATTCTTATATTCCTTCATTCTTTCTCTCTTGATACATCGTTGATGTTGTTACTTATCTAGATTTAACTACAATTTGGTTAAATTTACTTTTTTGAAACACTTGCGAGTCTTTTGATACACTCAAGGCTATTTCGATACAATCGAGGTTTGGCAAAAACTTGAAATTGTTTATCTCTTTCTCGATCAAATGATATTGTGGATTTCCAATCATTATTTTTTAGTGATATAATATTTTTTTTCCCTTTACATAATTGAGTAGTCGAGGAATCGGAGATCGCATTTGAAATCAAGTATTTGGAGAGTGGCTTCTAAACTCAAGGTGATGTTTCTTTTATCAATCTATTCTTGCATGTATTCTCTCATTTTCATTTGATGCTCATTTTCATTTGATGCATTGTTGATACTGTTGTCTGTTCAATTTTTTAAGATATGATTTAACAGGATTTAGGTTTTTGATACACTCTAAGTTTTAGTAATATACTTGAGATTCGAAAAAAGCTCATAATCATTTCTCTCTTTCTGAGCCAAATGATTTTATCATAGTATGGTCATAACTTCAATATAGCTGTATAATATCATTTTTCCCTTTTTAGATTTGTGTAGTTTAATCTAACCTCAAGGTGATTTTTATTTTTATTTTCTAACCGTTATTATAATTGTTCCTTTTTCCTTTTCCAACAATTGTTGATGTACACATTTCTCAAAACTATAATTTAGTTGTCAAGAGTATTCAAAGTTTTTGCATTTTACAATTCTTTAAATAATAAAATATAAACTCAATGCGGTGTTTCTTTTTCAATCTATTTTTATATTTGCCTTCTTTGAGATAAAAGTAATTGTTGAATGTTATCTTTTGCATAAAATAATAGAGTGAATAATTATACGTATATATAATTAATACATTGATTTGAAAATTTTAGTCATTTTGGATTTGTTCAATGTTCTTAAGATAGGTTCTATTCAATCAATAGTACGGATCTTGAAGTATGATTTGTCTAGTGTGACTTGTCTTGTCAGCCTAGTTTCTAGGCTATTAGGTTCAGTCGAAAATAGCGACTGCGAGTTTCCACTTCATTAAAAAAAATAGTATCGATCTTGAATACAAATGGAAATAATAAATTCCATACAATAAATTAAATAATTTCTCTCTTTCTCATTCAGATATTTTAGTACCCTTTCTTTTTTACTCTATTCTCATATATGTTCCTTTCCTTTTCCTTTTGTCTAATTTATATTGGATTTAATTTTGAAATACCCAAGGTTATTTCGATACACTCGAGATTTGAGAAAAACTTGAAACCATTATCTCATTTTTAGTAAGATGATATTGTGGAATTCCATTAATAATTTATAAAAAAATTGATATCATATTGTTTTCTTTCTTTACAGAATTAAGTAGTCGAGAAATCAGAGATTTCACCTTTTACTTCTATTATTTCGAGATTGTCATCTATACACAAGGTTATGTTTCTTTTTCAATCTATTATTATATATGCACTTTCATTTCTCCTTCGAGATATTGTTGGTATTATTATTCATTCAATATTTACCTATTATTCGACCAGATCTAACTTTTTGACATACTTGAGGTTTTTTTTTCGATATACTCGAGGTTGGACAAAAACTTACAATAAATTCAGAGAATTGAGTAGTAAAAAATTTGATACATTGTTGATATTGTTATTACCTTAGTTTTTAGCTACAATTCAATTGGATCTAAGTTCTCAATTTATTTGGGGTTCGAAAAAACTCAAAATTACTCTAGAGAATCGAGTAGTCGAGAGTTTAGAGATTTCGCATTTTACATCAATTATTTGGAGAGTGACATCTAAACACAAGGTTATGTTTATTTTTCAATCTACTCTTATATGCATTCTTATTTCTCCTTTCATACAATGTTGATATTGTTACTCATTTAGTTTTAGGCTACAATTCAACTAGATCTAAGTTTACTACAAAAAATTTGAAATTTTAGCTATAAAAAATAAATCGTAGCAAAAGACAATGAATTCATAGCAAAAAGATTTTTGCGAAGAAACTCATTTCTCTGCCTATACTGCGTTAGTAAAGGTCTTTGGCGACAAATATGACTTTCGTAACAAAAAATATATTTTTTGCAATAAAAGTTAAAAAAAAAAAAAAGATATAGCTACAAAAGTATGATTTCGTAACTAAAACTCTTTTCCTATAAAAATAAAATTCATAATAAAAGAGTTTTAGTAACAAAAATATGCATGATTTGTTTAGCCAAATGGTTTTAGCTATGAAAAATAATTTTGTAGCTAAAACTCTTTGGTATGAAAATAGAATTTTCTAGCAAAAAAATTCTAGTGACCAAATTAATTTTGTAATATATAATTTATTTTTAGTGATAGAATTAATTTACATTGTAAATGACACGTTTTAACAACTAAAATATTTTATAGTTAAAAGTATTGTAGCTAATTAGATACCTTTTTTGTAGTGGTTTTCGATATACTCAAGGTCGGACAAAAATTCAAAATTATTTTCTCTTTCTCGGCCAAATGATTTTGTCATATGTTTGGTTATAATTTAGACATAACTACATAATATTATTTTTTTTCCTCTATAGAATTGGGTAGTTTAATCTAAACTCAAGGTGATACATTATAATAATTGTTCTCTCTTTTTGATGCATTATAGATGTTCAGGGTTCTCAAATCTATAATTGAGTAGTCAAGAATTCAAAGTTTTCACATTCTACAATTATTTAAGCTGTTGAATATAAATTTCAAGCAATGTTTTTTTTTTTTTTTTCAATTATATATTTCATATTTTTCTTTTCCTCTCTTTTGATACAATGTTAATTGTTTCATTTAGTTTTAAGAGATAAGTCTTTTGACATATTCGAGATAATTTCGGCATACTAGAAACACAACAAAATTTTAAAATCATTTCTCTCTTCTATATCATATGCTTTTGTTTTGTGTTAGTAATAATTTAATTTGAAACTATAAAAATAGTTTTTTTTTTTTTTTTTTTTTTTGTGTGTGTGTGTGTTTCTTGAATCCATAATAAGTAGTCAAAAAATTCAAATTTTACATCTATTATTTGGAGTGTTGAATAAAAACTCAAGATGATGTTTCATTTTCTCTTTATGATGTTGTTATACATTTAGTCTCTTTTTTTTCATATACATTTAAGCTTATTTCCATACACCCCCCATTTGACTAAAACTCAATCATTTGCCAAAATTAAAACAAAAACTGCTGAAGATGGAATCCTTTATAATAAATGAGATGGTAAAAATAAAGTAAGATTTCATGAATTGTTGTTCTCATTATATATAACTCTAACATTTGTGAAATTTATTCCATGTATGCAGTTTTCTTAGAAGCAATTATTAAAACTCAAGAAGACAAGAATTCATCATCCTTTGTTAAATTTTTACAAAACTGTAAGCATTTATATTGTTTGGTATATTTGACTGTGTTTATTTTGTGTTTTGAGTCTAATGTATTGTTTATATTAGATATAGGAGACTGCATCAGTAATATAAAAGATAATTTTATGTTTAATTGTTAATTTTTTAATGGATATAATATATCATATAATATGTGTAAATATATGTATACATTGTAGTTTTTGTAATATTAATGGGGAAGTGTGGAAATATTTTAGAGTGGGTGAACAAACTCTTTATTTTTCTTTGCAATTTTTATAAATAGTATCGATGAGGTATTTGCTTTTGATGATTACATTTTTTAAATTAGAAAAAAAAATTATCAAACAGTTCTTACATAGTGATGATAAAAAAAATTATATTAAGAGATTACTTTTGTAATAATTATCATTAAAGTTATTGCACTGAATAATTTATGATGTATTTATCTGTGTTACGAGGTGTTTCTTTTTTTTTTTTTTTTTGATAATATTAAAAAAAATTGAATTTAAAATAAGGATTTTAATTTACATTTTGTATAAAAAGTTGGTATTCGATGATGATATTTACTACAAGAAAAACTTATTTAATATCCAGAAAATTAATCAAAAAACAAAAGAAATACAATATTGCTATCTTCATTTCAATCACTACATATAATAAAGATAATTTTTTTTCCTTGCTTTCTCTTAACTTCGCGATCATGTTTAGGATTAAAACATATGTTCATCATTTATAAAACAATAAGAAGTTTTCTGCATTCATTTCGGTGATATGATGGAAAGATTATCCTTGTGTTTGATTTCTTTGCTCATGTAAGATTGGTCCCAATTTCCGATAACTTTGTTGAAAGTGATCATAGCTGAATTTTAGAGTTCCATTTCCATTTACTGTGGATTTTGGTCAGTTATAAGGAGGATGATGTTCAAAACATTCAAAACTGCTTTAATTGCATTAGTTTGGAGAAGAGGGTAACAGCATTTGGTTGGATTAGTTTTGTGGTATCAAAATTGAAAAAAATAGAATGCCCTGAGCAATCCTTTTTATTTTTTGTTTTTGGAATTCTATGATCGGATTTTTATATTTTGCAAATATATATATATTTAAATATCACCATTGCAAGGTATGAGATTCACTAAAACTTCATTGTCTTACTTTGCTTCTATATATATTTTATATGATAGGGAGTTGCTATATAGAAAGAAGATAGGCTTGACAATTTGTACATATTGAACTATCCGGCGTGTTTACTTGGGATTTGGTTTAATTTGGATGTTTTAGATCTAGGTGGTTTTGAGGGTAAAATAAATTTGAAGTCACAAGTAAATATTGAGTATAATATAGAGATTTTACATACTTAATTAATTTCATTCTCTATTCCGGTCATATGATTATTTTTTTAATGTCGGCCCCAATGTAAATTAAAGTATGACTGTATTTTATTATTATTTTTTTTTTTTTGGCCTCTTTTACATTTATGGAATCTAGAATTGAGTGAGTATTAGGATATTTCAAACTAAATCGGTATCTTGGAGAGTCGAACAATATAAACTTAAGGTAATTATTTTTCAATCTATTTTCATATTCATTTTTATTTTTCCTTTGTTACATTATGGTCGTTGTTGTTATTGAATTAGTTTTTGCTATGCATCCATTAGAACAAGTTTCTTGACATGCTTTAGGTTTTCCTTTGCTTTTTTTTTTTTTGTGTACAGTTGATCCATAACAAAAAAACTCAAATAGATGAGATTGCCGAAATAAAGCAAATATTTTATAGATTGTTATTGTTATTTTTATCAACTCGATACTTGTAAAAAATTATTCTATTTCTGCAGTATTCTTGAGGAAAATTTGAAGGCAGAAAAAAGCCGCAACAAATTCCTATCATTGCTGAAGATTTCAATTTCTACAAAATGGTAAGATTTTTTAATTTTTTTAACATTTAATTTTATTTACAATTTCTTAAAATAATATTTCTTTTGATGGGTTTAGGGCAGCTTTTGTAATAAGTATCATTGCAGACTCATTTTGCTTAATCCTTAAATTAAATAAAATTATTATTATTATTATTATTATTATTATTATTATTATTATTATTATCCCAAAAGTGTCATATAATAATATCACATACAGCTAGATTCTTCTGCTTTTAGAGTAGCTCTATCTCTCCTAATTGTACATATTTTTGGATTTTACATATACTTTTTCACAAATGGGATATTCTTTATCAACGAAAAAACCTCATCTTTCTTGCAAATCATTGTTATCACATAGGAGGCATAAAAATTATCTACAAAAGAAAAGCCCCACCTACTAACTATAAATTGCATTTTATATGTTTTTAAGAAATTTGTTGTAAATTATTTGGTGTAGTTAAAAACATAAAGTTAGTGACTAGTTTTTAAATTATTGTTACAAAGAAAGGACTTGTCTCTTATATAAAAATTAAAGTGTTAGCCGTGTATGTCAACAGTATATATGGTGATTTTATTTACTAATTCATTTGCAAATATGCTTTGATGGGATAGATTTGGTGGATTGAGGTAAGGGTATTTACTTAGATCAATTTGGTGGTATTAAAGTTCAAATTTTTTATGACTTCATCATCATCTACGTTGTTGTTTTAGAATTCTACAATTTGAAGATGTTCATAATATTTTTTCATATTTTTCAAGGAGTACGAATTTTTTGTTACCTTATATTAATCATGAATCATGATGACATATATATGGCTTCTTGTAAGACCGTTGGTTTTATTTATTTATTTATTTATTATCAAAGAATTCAATTATTTTTAACCATATTGATCTCATTATATAGGATAATCGTCAATCAGTAAGTCATCAAGGAGAGGGAAGAGCATCGTGGCCAAATGATGCTCAAAGTGAACAACAGTTGGTTGCATATACTCCTAGTGGTCAGGATGGACCATCTACTTCTTATAGAACACAACCACATTCTTCGAACAGAGGTAGGTTTAATATTTTAAAAGCATTAGCATAACTTTCATTGCGTTATTGTTACTAAGTATATTCTTACAAGCATCTCTCAAGACCTATGTTATTTTCATTTTAGAACTTTGCTATTATTCTTGCATATGCATTATCTAAAAATCATGATTTCAGTTGCAGAATATTTTTCCTTTTCTTTCTTTCTTCTTTTTTTTTTTATTTTTGTAAATTTGTCATTAGTCATGCATACGAAGATATTTCATTAAATCATTTTGATTGCTTACAATGGAAAGTTTCAATCCATGGAGGGATGATAACAGATTTCTAATATATTGTATATCTAAACTGGACTTAAATATTTTTATTAGAGTTGGGTCTAATTATTTAAGAAGATGATTGAAAATAGAATACAACTTTTGATTCGAGTTTGAGTTTAGGATTAAACGTTGGATAATCATGTGTGATTTTATGTTAAAATACTTAAAATATTAATTGAAGCTACAATTCTTTGTTTTTATATTTTGCAAAATGCAACGCTATGATTTCTCCAACATATTTGCAGATTCTGAAATTGACGGTGGTCATGTTCAAGACACGACAGGATGTAATGACCAACACGAGATGGGAAATGATCTTCCCACGACATCTAGATTTGACGATAAGGTGCCCATAATTCTATGAGTTCCCATTAGTTATTAAATGCCTCCCATGAATAATATCTTTACTAAACATGCATTTGAAATCTTTTATTCGCTAGTGAAATTAAACTTCCATGGCCTGCAGGTTCACGAAGACCTTCTACCAGCTCAAACTGAAAGATGCACGGACGGGAACCATAACCTGTCCTATATGGGTAGCCGAGGATTGATTTGTACATCCTGTGGTCATGTGGAGCTTGACGCAGACCAGGTTATTAGCTCGTGGGTAAGTACATTGATATGAATCTATACTGTTTCCATTTTAAGAACTACAAACATAGTCTTATCTTCATTTGCCTTTTGCTTTTGTAGGTAGACAAAGCTTATTTCGACAGCTCTGAAGAGGAGGAAGAAGAAGGTAATGGGTGACTTAGGAAAATTCTAATATTTGAAAATTATCACTCATATTTGCATCACTTTGTCCAGGGAAGGAAACTAAAAATGAGAGAAAAGTGTTGCAGAAGAAAGACAGCATATGCAAGATGCAGCCTACTTATGAAGAACTCCAAGAAATTTTGGAGCATTTGAGGAATCGAGCTCATATTTATGATAGAATTTTTGGCGATGACCTTCCCACGACATCTGGATCTGACCATAAGGTGCTAATAATTCTATTAGTTCCCATTCATTATTGGATGCCTCTAGTGAACATTATATTTACTAAATATGCATTCCTAATCTTTTATTCAATATTGAAATTGAAATTCCATGGCCTACAGGTCAATGAAGAGCTTCTAGCAGCTCAAACTGAAGGATGCACCAACGGGAACCATAAGCTGTCCTATATGGGCAGCCGAGGATTGATTTGTACATCCTGTGGTCATGTTGAGCTTGATGCATACCAGGTTATGAGCTCATGGGTAAGTATATCGATCTTTATGCTATACTGCTCCCATTTTAAGAAATACAAGTATCGGCTTATGTGCATTTGTCTTTTGCTTTTGTAGGTGGAAAACGCTTATTTCAATATCTCTGAAGACGTAGATGAAGAAGGTAATGGCTGACTTAAGAAAATTCTATTATTTGAAAATTATCACTGATTGGTGTCTTACATTTGCGTCTCTTTGTTCAGGGACAGAAACTGAAAATGAGAGGAAAGTGCGGCAGAAGAAAGGCAGCACGTATAAGATGCAGCCTTCTGAAGACGAATTGAGAGAGATTTTGGAGTATTTGAGGAGTCGAACTCATACTTATGCTGAAATTTTTGGTGATGAGTCTACAGTCCCTCAAGTAGACAGCCACTCCAACCAGGACAATTCTGACAGCTGCTCCAATGCCATGGCTCCCGTCCAAGAATGCCATTATGAAATTGATAATTTGGAAAGAGATTTGGGGGATAGTGTCAGCACCAGCAGCATCAGCAGTGCCGATAGGCCCTCCAATTCGCTGGATTCTATTGAAGAAGGTGTTGACATTGTTCGTTTAGATGACAATTCGGTAGAAACTGTTAGCAAAGGCATTAATGATACCTCCTCCTGCAAGATGGCTGCCCAAGAAGAATGCCAAGAAGTTGCAAATTTTGATGATGGTGTTGTGGTAGTGAATGACAATGATGCTGCCAGTGGAGGTCAGATTCGATCTACCAGAAGGATCAACACTCACCTGTCGTCGATTTATGTTATGGATGAGCTGAGTGAATTTTTTGGGGATGAATACTGTACTCCGAGGAAGAAGCAAAAAGTAAACAATGATAAAAGAGTTGACACTGGAGAGGGCAGCACGCCCGTGGAGGCTTCTGAGCAGCGTAGAATAGGAACTCCAAAACAAAAGGCTGCAGTGAACTCTCGTCAGAAGCAGAGGATGCTATCAGAAATCTGTGGCACTGATCAGCGACCAGACAACGCAGGAGGGCCAAAGGTCACAGTCGTACATGCACAAAGTTCCAAAGCTCCAAGGATTAGCAGAAAAAGCGGTGGTAAAGATGACATGCCGTATTGGCTTAAAGAGATGACCAAGTTCATGACAGGGGCTAAAGCGAAGAAGACGAAGCCAAAACGATTTGACATGTCCAAGTTCCTAGAAGAATCCATTTTCAGACCATCATCTGGGACAATGAAGACCGGCGAAGCTGAAGACTACCCTGCTCTTCCAAGGAAGTTCAGGTTTGAAGACACTGTCGTGCCACTGACAGAAGAGGAGCAGAGAGAAGCTGAGTTTGCGAAGGAGGTGGACGACTTGATTGATGAGCTGAACTTTAACTGCGGTGTGGAAGATATAGGAACAGTTACCAGCCGTGAGGTAAGTCATTTAGTTTCTATACTTGTGTAGGTTAATTTCTATATTATTATTATTCAGAAAGCATTATGATAACTAGCGATGCATTCACTGCCTGCAGATTGTTCAAGTGGATGAGGAGGAGGAAGACACTCAGGAGCGCAGATGTGCTCGAGGGCTGCATGAGTTGACATTACAAGACGATAAAGGATTGTATTGTATCTACTGTCAACATGTAGAGATTCATCCGAAGGATGTACTTCCTCCGTGGGTAAGTATATATAGATTGTTTCCTTAAAGAATGTAACTAAAATCAGAAAATCATCCAACTGTAGGTAACATCAAAGTTGTTCCTTTTAGTTTATCTGTTCTCCCTAATTCTGCACTAATCTGTTATCGGAAAGTAGCTCAGTTCAATTTTAGGTTGATTTAAAATTTTTGCAGCTATCCCCATTAAAACGAATTCTTGTTCCTTTTTGCAGGTGATCAAAGCACGTCATGGGCCGGGAAAGAAGAAGCAGTCGGAGAAAGGGGAGGGTCTGGATCTCACCACTGTCAGTCTCCCAGTAGGGGATACAGCTGAAGGAAGCAGCCGGAATAGCGGCTCAGTTTGGAGCATGATGGCTGGTGTACGAGAGACTATGTATGAACACCAGAAAGAAGGATTTGAGTTCCTCTGGAAGAACTTGGCAGGCAGTACTGACATTGCCGAGCTAAAGTACTCAAATCTACCTGGAGTTGGCGGATGCATCATTTCTCATGCACCAGGGACTGGAAAGACACGGCTGACGATTACATTCCTGGAGACGTATCTAAAGATGTATCCACACTGCCTGCCGATGATCATTGTACCCGCAAACATACTTTGTAGCTGGGAAGGCGAGTTCAAAAGGTGGAAGGCTGGGTTTAATTTCCACAACCTCAACAATACGGCTTTCATTGGCAACGAGAGAGAGACTGCAGACCAACTCTTCGATGGGGCGAAGATCAGTTCCCGGGATTTGGAGGCAATCCGTATGGTCAAGATTTATTCATGGAAGAAGGGGGGAGGCCTTTTGGGGGTTAGTTACAATCTTTTTGAGAAACTAACAGCGGAGAAGCACCTGGCAGCAAATGCAGGCAAGGGGGTGCAGAGAACAGGTGCTGAACAGAACTTGGAAGTTCTCAGGTCGACACTTCTTGAGATGCCTGAACTAGTAATTCTTGATGAAGGCCATACTCCTCGTAACCACAAGACTAAGATTTGGACTTCACTGGTTCAGCTCAAGACAGAAAAGCGTGTCATTTTGTCGGGGACACCATTCCAAAACAATTTCCAAGAGCTGTTCAACACCCTAAAGATCGTAAGGCCGACAGAAGCAGAAGCGATTATGCAGGATAGGACATTTGCTGAGATTCTGCATTCTGATAAGAAATACAAGAGCTCTCGCGCTGCTTTGCTTCCTGAAGCAGTCAATCGTGCAGTAGAGAGGCTTAAAGTCGCCATGTCGCTGTTTGTGCACGTGCACAAAGGAACTGTCCTGCAGGATCTCCCCGGATTAAAAGATAATCTCATCCTCCTGAAACCGACTGGATTGCAGAAGACACTTATCGACAGGTTGGAAGCAGAAAGGTTAAGGAAAGGACTTCCGAGTGAATTTGGATTTTCGTTGGTATCTGTTCATCCTTACCTCACCCAACACTGCAAGTCGCAAGTGCCAACCGATGGAATAGATATGCAAGCAGTGGAGGCATCAAAGCTCAATTCTGGCAATGGAGTCAAAACAAAGTTCGTCCTCGAGTTTGTCCGCCTCAGTATGATGCTGAAAGAAAAAGTGCTCATTTTCAGCCAATACATTCCACCCTTGGAGCTGATCGAAGAGCATCTGACCACGACCTTCCAGTTGAATCCCGGAAAGGAAATCCTAAGGCTGGAAGGAAGGCTGCAGAGGAAGCAACGCCAGAAGGTGATCAACGCATTCAACGATCCAGAAAATGATTCAAAGATCTTGCTTGCGTCCATAAGGTGCTGCTCTGAGGGCATAAGTCTGGTCGGGGCTTCCAGAGTCATTCTGCTGGACGTCGTCTGGAATCCTTCTGTGGAACAGCAGGCGATTTGTCGGGCTTATAGGATTGGGCAAACAAAGTTTGTCCATACCTACCACCTAATGACTGCTGGCACTTTTGAGGCGGACAAATACTGCCGGCAAGCTGAGAAAGAGCGACTATCAGAATTAGTCTTCTGTTCTTCTTCGAACGAGAAGGATATATCAAAGCAGCAGATGCCGGAGATTGAGGACAGAATTCTTGAAGAGATGGTCCAGCATGCGAAGACAAAAGATATATTTGAGAAGATCATCCACCAGCCGAAGAGCGCCGACTTGATCCAGTCCTTGGGCGTCAGAGGTTGAGAATATTCTATAAAGGTATGTGTTGAGTTAAAGTTTTTTGGAAGAAACAAATTCTTGAGTTGATTGATCATTTTTGTTTGGGAATTGTTTGGTTGATTTGGTGCAAGAAACAATATGTGTGGGTTGTATAGTTTTTGAGAAAGTTTGGAGTTGTTTTTTTTTTTTTTTTCCCCTCTTATCATTCGGTAGTTTTAGATTGTTCTATGGCATAAACAAAATATAATCAATTGTTGTTTATATAGGTGTCTGATGATTTTCTAAATGCAGAAACATGATAGGATGGGTTGTGATTTGTATAGATTTACGATGAATTTTGTATATATGTGACATTTTGTGGAATGCATAAGTAGCCATATCAAGTAAATGTGTTATGAAATTTTCTTAATGCAAAGATGGTTTATGTCTGATTCATGATTGATTTTCTTGATAAACTGAAATGTCTTTCATGTAAATTACTGTGTAGGTGTTATGCTCGTCTGCATCATCGGGCCGTCAACTTAAGGAAAAAGAAATGAGACACGGCAACCAGGTTTGTATCTCTGATGTTAGCTACAAATAAGTGAATATGAATATGCATACAGAGAGTCTAAATAGTATTCATGTTTTTCCTTTGATTGCCTTTTTCTTCATTTTCTGCTTTTGTTAAAGAGTGATTGGATGATGTATAAAGAGAGCAATTTCTTGATTGTTAGGGTGTGTATATTTCGCGTTTCCTTTGTCCAATTTTTTTCAAAATCAATTTTTCTTAGTTTTGAGCACTTTTACAAATGATTTGTTTGAATAAGAAATTAATTTTTTTTTTTATGGATTGAGGATAAGTGAGATATTTTAGATCTCGATTATGTCTATTAGGGATAAATGCTTTTGGTGTCAGTTAAATTTATTAGTTTTGTTACTTGATATGCAGATGGAAAATGAAATTTGGTGGTGAATGCTCTGAAAATTGTGTTGCATTGTAGTGATTTCATGTGTTTTTTATGTCAATATTGTCACAGTTGCATGAACTCTCTTAGCACATGCGATAAAGGTGTCCAACTATCCTTTTTAATCAGTATAATCGTGGCCATTGAAGATTCAAACGTATTCGATCGAAAGGATTAATGGCATTATCCTACCCCCTTGTGTGAAAGTTCTAGTAGATCAATAACAAGATGGCATGCATACATATACTAGAACTATTTTTTTTTTTTTTTTTTTTTTCATTTTATAAATTGATCAGTTCAAATATGGCTTTCAGAACGTGACAGAAGAGGCAAAGGGTGATATATGATGACCATAAGAAGTTAGCTCAGCAACAAGCACAAATAAAGTCGCAGATGGCTGGGTATGAAGATGAATTGGCAAGAAAAAAGGATGCATGTAGGCTGTCTTCTTGGCTTTGTATTAGGTACAATTATGAGTTTTCAGTGATAACAGTTCAGTAGAACCTTTGTTTTTGTGGGCAGAAAATGAAGCTAAGCTTGCTGAGGATGTTAATAATGGATGCTAGTAGAACGTGCTAATGCAAAGCGAGAGAAAAGGGTTGCAGCAATTAATACGACTGCCTTTGAGGTTTGTTTTTCTTTTTATTTTCGAACTTGTACAAATTGGTTTTGTTTATAATAATAAAATGTATGAAAAGATGCCTGTGATTAAAAAGCTTGTGTCTGCTAATGGTTTTTCCTGACTTGCAGCTTCTGCTTCCTTTGTTTCTGAACGTTTTCCTCTTCAAGTGCCATGTTTAATGAAGGTGCCATGCTAGTGTTTTTTTTTTTTTATTCGATGATAAACAAATAATCAATGTTTGTTGCCTTGACTAGAGTTCCCCTCTGATCATATTCAGAGAACCCTTGATGGACATGGAGCAGGAGCAGGAGCACGAGAGAACAAAATATGACTATCATGGAACAGTTACGGAAAATTCCTGCTTATTTAGACCGTCGTGACCTAGATGGCGATACCGGTGCTTCCCCGATTGCATGATGTATGTTCGCTTACTATTTTGCTTACTTTTGGCATTCTCAGGATTGATGGAATGATTGGTTTATTTTATGTTGTCGTATGGTATTGGAGACGAAGTTTATTTTGTATTACGCAGGGTTTACAGAGTGATTAAGAAAGGTGCAGCCGCCACTTTGCTCACCGTGTGCGCAGTCTCGGTAAAACGACGATCTACGAATATCCAACCGTCGGATTGTCCCCAAATTTACACAGAAGGTTTGTCACTTAAATTTCTACATTCTGAACAGTAGAGATCGGAATCGGAACATCAAAAGTTCTGATATAGACACTAACAGTGAGCTCTGTTCCCTCCCAGATTCTTTCGGACTAGTTTCGGTGTTGATATCGAATCGGAAGATCTAACTGTTGGATCAGGCTGAAATTTGAGTATGTTGTTGGGACATCGTGGAGTAAATTATGAATGGGGGAGATCGTGATCAGACGTCTGGATCATCGAGTATTTGGGTCTGAACAGAAGGGTAAGTTTTCTATTTCATTCATATATTCGTTGACAAAATTGGTATTATATTTTGTGAGTTGGAACTTGGGTTGATTTTTGTATTGAACGATTTGTACCCCTTTTGATTATAGTGGAGATTTTGTGGACTTCGGTCCCGTGGTTTTTACTCCTCAAATCGAGGAGGTTTTCCACGTAAAAAATTGCTCGTGTCCTTGTTGATTGGTTGCATTACATTTTCGGCGTGATTATTCTATTGTTATTGTTTCCTACTAAATTCACACAATGGGATGATTCGTACTTTAACGAGCATCCGTCCCTTCAGGTTGTTGGAATGACTTTTTATATTGTTAATTTGTAATTGTTAGGGATAGGTGCACAACTCTGAAATGAATCTATATTTCTAGTTTATAATTTTTCCTAGACAGGGATAGGAATTCGAAATGAAATTTGAAATGAATGTGATGCAGAAATTTGTAAAATGGTTTGTGATGGATTTTTGCAAATAAATTAATGCGAGGGACTTTATTTCTTTACAAAAGTGAATTTTATGAAGGTATCGTTCCCTCCCCAAATTTCACTCGCAAAAAGTTGCTAGGGAATTTCTCGTCAAATCCAAATTAGCGAGCAGGTGAATAGCGATGGTGTTTATTCCTGTACAACTTCTTTCGCTAGCGGATTTTGCAAAGGAAATAATTTGATAACTTGATATGCTAGGGATTTTTTCCCAAGCATATATTTTTTTGACATAATGTTAATTTGAAATTGTTCTAAGTTTGGACTAAATGTGTTCGATTGGATAGATTAAGTTTATAAGGTTTTAAGAATATCGAAATAGTGATTGTTTGTCGGTATACTGTGTTATCCTTTTGTTACATAGATTTATTATATATAACAACTAAAACTTTGAAAATAGTTTTTATCTTTTAATTGTCTCTTGTTAGGTCTGTTTGTACAATATTTTTGTTATTTAATGATCTAGAGAAGATAATGTATTGCGAATAATAATAATAATAATGTGGAGTATTAGATGCAGAGATATGAAGGCAATCCTCATGGTGAAAACACATTCGTGGAAAAAGGCGAGGCCTTTTTGGGATTAGCTACACTTTACAATTTGCTGTATATGTTCAATTTTTATACAATTGTAGAATTTCATCACAATTTTTACAAAATTTTAAGAATTTTATGTTGTACATTTTTTTCTATTTGAAATTTTTAAAATAATATTGACGGTGTGTTTGATTAAAATGTTGAGTATGATAATGAATTTTTCACGTTTTTAACTAAATCTCTTTATAGTTGGATTTTATAGTACGTTCGGACATATTTTAAATAAGTAATAAAATCTTATCTATTTTTTCCTTTATATATAATGCAGCTTATGCACATTTCAAAAAGCAATTAGAATTCAAAAATATCAAGATTATACGAATTGGTTGTAGAGTAGAATGTTAAATCAAGGTGAAGATTTTTAGGCCCACAGTGGCAGAAATGGCGATGTAAGATTGAGCTTTCACTGAAATTTCACATTCAAATAAAAAAAAAAAAAAAAGATAGTCCTCGAATAAAAGGCCAAAGCTCTCAGCCTGCTTCGCTCCCGGAGCCATCAACCGTGCCGTGGAGAGGCTTCTGTGATCTTTGTGCAGCCATTGTTCATTGATATATACAAGCAGTTGATGCATGCAAGCTCAATCCTAACAGATAGTCAAAATTATACAAAATTCATCTTGTAGTTTCTCCACCTCAGTTTGATGTTGAAGGAAACAGTGTTTATCTCAGCCGCCAGTACATTAATTCCGCCACTAGTGAAATGTTTGGCAGGAAATTCCGAAGCTAGAGAAGAAGCACCGCCAGAATGTGATCAAGGCATTTAATGATCCAGAAAACAATCTGAAGATCATGCTGGCGTCGACGAGGTGCTGTTCTGAGGGTACAATCCGGGTTGGGGCTTCCGGATGTTGTCTGGAATCCACTAGTCGATCAGCAGGCGGTCTGTTGGGATTAGAGGATTGGACAAAAGAAGTTTGTCCATATCTACTGTTAGAAATTTTGGGGGAAAAATAATATGATTGTCTTATTATCGTCAAAATAAGAAGCCTATATATAAGTCATACAAAATAGACTCAAATAGACTCAAATCTAAGTAATCTAATCTATGAATAAGATCAAATCTAGATATAAATCTACTAAATTTGAATATCTAACATATGTCAACACCTACCATCTTATAACTGCCAGCACGACTGAGGCCGACAAATATTGTTTTAGGATTTTTGCACATAAAAAGTGTGTTAAAAATGCGAAAACATATAAAAACAATTGAAACATAATCCGTTCACCTAGCATTTTTAGATGAAATGATTTTTAGGGTGTGGTACGAGAAATTGTGACAAAAATATAAAATATAGTATTTTAGATTGAACGTTTGACTTTTTTAATTTTTGTAATGACTTTTTTTTATAATGAGTATTGAAGTTTTTTTTTTTTTTTTTTAGTTTTGTACAAAATATTTTGTGTTTTTATTATATTTTTGAGGAATCGCAATTGAAAAATGGTGACGGAAGAACATAGCAGTTAACCACCGGAAAACAAGAAAAGAACACATGAATTAATATAAGTAGCTTTATATGTTTATGTTGACCATGATCATTTGAATTTTGTAGGTAAAGTTTGTTATTATTTTAAGGGTGCTGCTAAATGGACAGATTCTGCCCATGCCAGAATAATTAATAATTATGTATTAATATAGTCAAAAGACTATTATACTCCTATTAATTTATTTATCTCTATTCTTCGGGATGCCACACCTTTTAAGAGGCTCTTCCGCCAGGTATCTGATTACTCTCATCTTTATTCTTTTGGTTGTGTCAGCTTTGTTCATCTTCCTTCTCAAGAACGAAAAAAATCAGAACCACGCACCCGAGTATAGGATAGAACATAAATGTTATCAATGTTGGGATCCTATGTCGAATTGTCCACGTATCTTTGGGGATGTTACTTTCTGGGAGCATAAGTTCTTTTCCTCTGAGTCTAAATTTTCCATTCCCTTTGAGTCGGAGTCTCCCTTCTTTATTATGGATTTCTCTCCTCCTCCTGCAGGTCTCAAACCCCCATCCGTTTTTGTTATCTATTTGATGTTGATCCTTCCCCACCAGCTGACCACTTGTGCCTTTTGAGCCTGTGTTTGATCCTCCGAAAGTTCCATTTCCTGCCGCCACTGATCAGCAACTCACCCGTGTAAGTCGTCATCCCTCTCATCTACGTGATTATAATTTGTTTTTTTGTCATTTTATCTCACCATGAATACAGGACCTTTCGTGATGCGAACTGTGATCCCTTGTGGTGCAATGCTAAATTTGAGAAATTGCAGGCTCTTGAGAAAACCGGCACATGGGATATCGTCGAACTCCCTCCTGGCAAGAAACCTATTAGCTGCAAGTGGGTGTACAAGATCAAAACTCACTCCGATGGTTCTGTTGAGTACTACAAGGCTCGCCTTATAGCCAGGGGTTTCTCGCAGGAGTATGGTATTGATTATGAGGAGAAATTTGCTTCAGTTGCTCGCTTGACATCTGTCTATTGTCTCCATGTTGTTACCGTTGTTCGACGTTGGAAACTATTACAGTTGGATGTGAAGAATGCGTTTTTTCATGGAGATTTTTCTGAGGATGTCTACATGACTCCTCCACCTGGTTCAGATTTTTCAGGGAAGGTATGTAAGCTGCGCCGTGCCTTTTATGGACTGAAGCAAGCGCCCCGAGCTTGGTTCACCAAGTTTAGTGTTGCGCTCCTTCAGTATGGCTCTTCTGCATCTTCTTATGACTTTGATTGGACAGGTGATCTAACTGATCATCGCTCCATCACAGATTATTATTTTTTTGTTTGGGAGTTCCCTTGTTTCTTGGCACATTAAAAAACAAACTTTAGTTTCTCGCTCCAGTGCAGAAGCTGAATATCATGCTCTTGCGGATTTGACTTCAAAGCTCATTTGGCTTCGTCGGCTTCTTTTTTATCTCGGGGTTTCTCAGTCTTCTTCCATTTTCGTAACACCCCAGCCCGCAAGCCGCGAAAAGCTGGGTGTGTCGGGATTGTAGACTTGCCTCATAAGTCAATACGAGTTCTTCCAGCGCATTTTTGTCTTCACTCACGTGCACCCTGAGAGACTTTTCAGGGGGTCAACTATCCTCAATAGACTGGCCCCACAAGTCAACACGAGTTCTTCCAGCGCATTTTTGTCTTCACTCACGTGCACCCTGAGAGACTTTTCAGGGGGTCACCTATCCTCAATAGACTGGCCCCACAAGTCAACACGAGTCCTTCCAGCGTGTTTTTGTCTTCACTCGCGTGCACCCTGAAAGACTTTTCAGGGGTTCACACATTCTCAAATTACTCTAGAGCAAGCACACTTAAATATAGAGTTCTTTCAGTAGGGCTCTCGAAAAGGAATGTGCACATTGTTTACATGAGTAGTCTATTCAATCCATTTAACCTATATTCAACATCGGATGGTTTGACACTATCTCATCCATGGGAGTTGGCCTAGCACCGGCCCAACTCTGGGGGTATCACATCCTCCCCCACTTTAGAATGCAACCCCTACGTTGCACCCGAATGATCATCAACTTCCCTCCATTGTGACAGCATGAGCGCAATCCAAATATTCCATAATGATGTCTTTCACGAGCGCACCAAGCATATTGAGATTGATTGTCACTTTGTTCGCCAGCATATTGTTGCAAGTAATGTTCATCTATCTTTTGTCTCTTTTGAGGATCAGACTGCAAATATAATTAGTTTCTACTTTACCACATTGAGTTTGAAAGAGTTAGCATATTTTTATATATTATTATTTGGGAGATATTTATATATATGATATTGGAACTCTCATTATCCAGTTGATAATACAAACGCAAATATTTAAACAATAATATTTGTAAATTAAATGAAAAATAAATAATATTTTAATAAAAATTATAAAATAATAATAAATAAATAATAAAAACAACCTATAAACCAAATTGCGGTACCGACGTACCAAAAAACTTGTTAAATTATGAATTACTGCAAGCTGTAGATTGATCAATCCGCCTTTCTTAATAGCTCTAAAAGCAACGGTCAAAATTTTGATGTCTAAATAAATGTGTTGTGAGTACCATACCACGTGTACTCTTCCTAACTTTCAGCAACAATACATTACAGCCCCGCTCAACTCAACTTGGCTTGAATCAAATATTTAAAAGTTTAAAACTTTGAGTAATGGTGGGCGGAAATGCAAAACGACGTAGTTTGCAAGCGGTCCAGGATACGGCGTCGTATTAACCGCCAAATTGAAATTGGCTTTGGCTCCTTTGCCAGCATTGAACGGCAGAGGAGATTCGATAGTTGGTACGGAAACGCACGCTTTTTCCTAACACAAAGAAGGAGATACTTTGTCGGCCAGGCCCCATCCCTTACGCTCCCCCCACGTTCTCCCTCCCACGCTTCTCCGTGACAATTTAAAAAAAAAAAAATGTATGATTTTTAATGATATATTTTACAAATAATACTTTATATGAAATATATTCATTGTAAATAGTTTATTTACTTAGGTAAATTTTAGAAATTTTAATTTTAATTTAAATAATTTACTCAATATAATACTTTATTAGTGAACTGATCCGTGATTGGTATAAATTATTGAAATAATATTTAGATAAATAATTTTTTATATTGATAAATATTTTACAGAAAAATACAAATATTCTTCAAAACAAATGTAATAATAAATACATAAAATCACCAAATAAAGATTTTGTGTGTTAGGTGTGTTTGTTTAGCAAAATTGGTTGGAAAAAAAAATATTATGCAAAGGACATGGAATTGTGTATGTTTTTGGAGAAATGCCTAAGAACACACTACTTTTGTTATATTTTTGGATCAATGTGTTTTCTTTTTACATTAAGTACAAATTATGTCGGTAATATAAAAAATAATATTTTATATTAAATAATTAATTTTTGTGAATGCATAAAATGAATATATTATATATATTGTATTAATATTTATTATAAATTATATTTTTTATAATATTTATGAGAACTATGTGATTAAAAAAACAAACTTACTACCTCCTCTTCGGAAAATGTATTAAAAAGTTTTGGACGCTGAAATTAAAAAAGAAAAAATGATCTTTTAATATTATTTTTATATTTTTAATTATATAATTTTTAACTTAACAGTTAAACATTTTTACTTTTTACTAATATTTGCAAATATTTTATAAATAAATTAAAATAGTAAAATAAATATATTTTACAAGAATATGTACTAATAAAATCTTATTTACATGTATGTATTCTTTTGTATTTTTTATTATTATTATTTCACGTTATTTATTAGATTTAAAAATATATATAGATATATATATATAAGGTTTCTTTTATGAGATAATATGAATTAATATTTTTAATGTAAAAATATAAAAAATATAAAAATAATAACGATATGTATAAAATATTAAAAGAAACAAATTTTCTAAAACTCAAGCCTACGACAAACCTCTACCAGTCACAACTACTTTTCTTGCAAAGTATATCAGAGAATCTGCAACCCATGTCACTTTAACTACCTCCTGGAAACCGTCGCTGCGCATCGTTTTCCGCACCGTCGGCGGCCGTTCTACCGCCGGCCATTTGTTTATCACTAGTAGTTGGAGTATTTGAGAGATTGATCCTTCGTGTGTGCGTGTAAGAGGTCGATCTTGATCAGATTTTGGGGAGGATCAAGGTTTTGTATTATCTGAGGGTAAAAGGAGGTAATTGTTGCATTGTTGGAAATGGGGGTTGATTATTACAATATATTGAAAGTTTCGCGGAATGCGACGGAGGAGGATGTGAAGAAATCGTACAAGCGGTTAGCGATGAAGTGGCATCCGGATAAGAATGCAGTAAACGCTAAGGAAGCAGAGGCGAAGTTCAAGCAGCTGAGTGAGGCGTATGATGTATTGAGCGATCCACAGAAAAGGCAGATCTACGATTCGTATGGAGAGGAAGGGCTGAAATCTGGTTTGCATCCGCCGCGGAGTTCGAAGGGCAGAGATTCCGCGTCTAAGGGTTTCAAGTTTAGTCCGAGAGATGCGGAGGACATTTTTGAGGAATTTTTCAGTGAACTGGATGGAGGGAAAGGTAAGTGCGCCGTTGGCGGCGGAGGAAGGCTGAAGAAGGCGGCGGTTATGGAGACCAAGTTGCCGTGTAGCTTGGAGGAGCTGTACAAGGGGTCGAAGAGGAAAATGAAGATATCCAGAATCGTTCTTGACGATTCAGGGTAGGTTCATTGTTATTGGCTCAATTTTGATTTAATTTCAGTCTAGTTTCATGATGCAATTGATGTGTTGATTGAGTGGCTGTTGAATGATATTTTAGGGGTCGGAATTTGGTGGAATTTGTTTGCCTTAATTGCAAATTTCATAGCTACTTTGCTTCCTGGTTGTCGATGACTCATGGTTGGTGCAATTATGTGGATTGGAATCTTTGATTGTTCTATGAGTTTGCATAAAATTGGGATACAGTAAAGGAATAGACATTTTTTTCGAAATGATGAGAGAATCGAAGCATTATAGTGTTGGTTATGTATAATGAAAATGCTTACTCTGATGCATTGTCTCAGTTCTTGATGAATCTAATAGTTAGTATTTATCATTTTTTTTTTTTCGGGTCTTTTGTGAATGAAGGTAATTTAGAGTGTTCGATAAATGTTTCTGTTCCGATGATATAGCTACTAAACAAAGTAACTAATGTTATTATTGCAGGAAGCCGGTAACTGTTGAAGAGGTCTTGTCTATACATATTAAACCCGGTTGGAAAAATGGAACGAGGATTACTTTCCCCGAGAAAGGGAACCACGAACCAGGTGCTGCACCGGGTGACCTGATATTTGTTGTAGATCAGAAATCTCATCCTGCTTTCAAGAGGGATGGAAATGATTTAATAATCAATCAAAAGATATCTCTAGTGGATGCTCTTACAGGAAAGTCTCTCAGCATAAAAACCTTAGACGGAAGAGATATATCTGTTCAAGTAACAGACATTGTTAAGCCTGGATATGAACTTGTAGTTGAAAACGAAGGTATGCCCATATCTAAAGAGCCTGGCAAAAATGGTGATTTGAGGATCAAATTTAATATCAAGTTCCCTTCAAGGCTTACTTCCGAACAGAAGTCAGATTTGCAGAGGATCTTGGGCAGATCATCGGGTTAGCACTGGTTTTCTTTTCAATGGTTGCTATGTCATTCCCTGTAGTTATAAGCGTGGAATGTAGTGTATATATGAATTCGGTTCTGACTGGTAAAGTTGTGTATATATGGAAGGAAAGACTACGTTTTCATTTTCTTTAACATTCGATAAATATACAAATTCCATAACTTGGTTTGAAGTGTTGAGTTATTTTCATGCTGTTGTAGCTGTTTCCATAATTCTTTTATGTTGAATAATTGGATGATAGATTACTTCTCTGAATAATCCAATGCTGTAAGAAGTCTGTTTTCTTAGAAACTTTATCGTCATCGCGTCAATTATGTGTATACTACTAGCCCATGATATGTACTTTAATTTCATGCATAAGAATCTAAGCATTTCTTTAATTCAGTCTCGTAATTTCTTGTCTTGTTTCTTGCAGCAATGCTGAATCTCTTGCTCTACATTGCATCATGCATTTCCGAGCCTGTGGTTCTCAATCTTCTTCTTAAGCTCTTCCTTCTTCGCCCCCACAACCCTGTCGACTTCTTTCCCTTTCTTTATAAGAACAAAAGTCGGCATTGCCTCCACCCCAAACTGCTTCGCCACATCCTGTTTACACACACACACACACACACACACAATTCGTAATTTTGGTCATTGTCTGCAAAGTCATATCTTGATTTTTAACAGATACGGCATTTAGTTTACACACATATAGACTTACTTCCAGTTCATCCACATCTATCTTGATGAACTCCACATCTCTATATGTCTCTGCAAATTCATTAACTGCAGGTTGTATATACTGACAGGGGCCACACCAAGAAGCCGTGAAGTCGACAACCACCTGCATCATCCGAAAACAGATGATCAGAAACCCCAAGACACCAGCATGAAATAGCAAAAGTACATTCTTACCAGTTTGTTGCTTTGCTTTGATGCTTCGAAATGGACTTTGAGCTTTGACGATGAGTGAAATGCAATAACCTGACCGTGTCCGTCGAATCTTGTAGGCGGCAACGGATCGGAGACATGGGAAACACTGGCCCCCATCTTAGTTTCTTCTCCAGATTTGTAGAATGGAGTGTGGATCGTCTAAACTGAGGTAACCATTCCCTTTTATACTGGTCAAAAGAGTTTGGGCTGTTCATTTTATTTTGAAGCTTTTTGGAGAAATGTTAGATATGGGCCTGCAGAATATGTTCTTGATTAGGACATGCTGGTGTGTTGTCCGTTGGTTTAAATATGTCAGTTTAGGCATAATTAGGTTATGTGTTTTTAAAAGAAGGTGAAGACATTGGAGCCGTTGCTTGTAAATACAGCTTTTTATGGTTTGATGATTTTTGCAATATTCGATATGCTGCTTTATGTATTTTTTTATTCATCTGTCGTGTCAGTAAAATAATGTTGGAATCAAATTAGTGTTTTGGGGAATGTTAGGATCGGACATTGAGTACGTAAAAGCTATATATGTAGTGTTGCATTTGTTAATTAACATCCAATTGGGGTTGAAATTTGGGGCATCGAATTCATTTTAGACACCGAATTCTGGATGTGTTCTTTTACTTTAACCAATAAGGGGCCTTCTTTTTTTTCTTTTTTTTTGGATAAAATAGCATGTTTTATTGGGCAAAATAAGATTGATTTCTATGTAATCTTTATACAAATTAGGAAAAATTATAAGACCTTAAGTCGTGTACTATTGATATTAAGTTTATATTACTTCATCTCCCAAAATCTATGTGTATTTTTCCTTTTTGTGTTTTAAAAAATTATATATATATATATATATTCATTTTCTATTTATTTCTTCCTTTTTTTTGTCCACGAAAAGTATCTTGTTTTCGTTTATAGCAAATAGTTTTTATATATATTTTTTATTTATAATCTTCAATATTATATTCTCTCTATTTCAAATATAGTGCAATATTTAAGTGGCTAGTATTAAATAGAATAATTTGAGTATTAAATTGATATGATGAGAAAAAAAATGTGATGGAATAAAATGTGACGTAGAAATTAAATATATTTAATAATTTTTTATTTAAAAATATTAAAAAATATTTGGGACAGAAAGAGTACTTATTTACAAAAAAATATTGTAACTACTTACACAATCTATATACAAAAAAATATATATATGTATATATATATTTCTCTTCATTAAGTTTTTGGTAATACTTCTTAAACTAGTCCTATCACAATCAATTAATAATAAGCTTTAAATTAATACAGATACTAGGTTCGATCGGGGGTTTACCCAATCGTATTTTCGGGTAGCGGCTGCAGTTTTCACAAAAAAAAAAAATGTTAATAATAAGCTTTAAATTTTGGTGTTGATTTAAGGCTAAATTGTTGGATTAAATTTAATCCAAATGTTGTGATTAATTAGAGGATAAATATGTAATTTTAGATATGATTAACTAAAATAATATTAGTTAATGTGCTTTTTACACGTACCTCTTTTAATATTAGTATTCTATTTATATATAGTATAAATTATTATTAAAAAAGTTAAAATATTTTTATTAATATTGTGTAATATAAAGATACATATTTTTGTAATATATTATAAATTTTAAAAATATTTATAATATTAAATAGAGAAGACAATTATTTTAAAATTAAATATTTTGCTTTAAAATGAACAAAAATAAAAAATAATTTCCTTGTTAAGATACAAAGAGAATTAGAATATATATATATATATATTTTTTTTTTCTCGCATCCAAATATCATAGTCTATGTATTTGTTTGGAGGTTTGGATTTTAAGTTGGGATTTGAATAGTAAAAATTTTGAATTTGAATAGTTGTATGATGTGATATAGATAAGTGTTGATATGATATTTTGAATGTAAAATTGATTTTTAATATAATATAAAAAATGAAAAATATATGTTTAATTTGATGTTTTCGAGAAAAAACAAATAAGATGAATAATGCCAAACAAACACACCCATGTGTCTCTTCCTTTGCTGCTCGACTCATAAAATCTACAGGAAATAATTAATTAATTTTTATAATATTTTATGAAATAAAATCAACACCATTAAAATGCAAACAAGTAGATTCCATTTTGTATAAATTTAAGGCAAACAACTATATAATTCAATGTACAATAAATAAATATAGAAAGCACATTAGTAAATTTAGAAAAATTAAATTTCAATTCAGCAATGCTGAATTAAAGTATAATATCAGCACCTGATCCTTCACGTTTCAATAAATATACATATAAAATATAACACCCAAATATACCAATTCAACAATCTATATGAAACAAATTAGCACATTCACTAAAATAAATCACTAAATCAGATATATATATATATCCCATTTAATGAATGAAAATGTCTCAAGTTTATCCTATCTACTCTCTCTCTTCTCTCTCACAACTCTCTTTCCATTATTACCATTTACATACATGCATTGCACGCATATATGATACTCGAAACACATGCACTCATATATCTAATATATATAATTACATATGCTGATAATATATATATATATATAATTACATACTGCTCAAATATACATCATACATAATATACTTAAATATATTACACAGTCCGCCATTCATACATTACATATATATGTACGATATATATAAAATATATAGTTAGTGTTAAAAATAATTAATATTTTTATTAGTTATCTCTAAAATAATATCACAACATGTTATCACCACGATTGTGTTTTAAAATTTTCGCAATGTAATATTTGATATTTTATTTGTTTATTTTGAGTAATCTTGTCAAACAAGAATTTCTCACTCGTCTTAGCCAAAACTATATAGCATGAGCTCACAATGTGAAAAAGCATCTAGTGTGAATGGGCTAAGAAAATACTATTGTCTGGGATAAAAAATCCCACGAGCCAAGATCATCCAAAAGTCATGATCTTTTGTGACATCACATCGATGAGGTACTGAAAATGCAATATATGACACTGGAATCCTCGCTCGAATTGTGAGAGATATTGAAAAAAAGACCGATAATATATAGTTGACTTTATTTCCATGGCAAGAAGCGAATGGTAAAGTTTTCAACTTTAGGTCTTTAGAACTGTTCAAGAATACAATTATGTCATATTTAAAATAACATCGCAGTTATATCACTGTTGCGAAAATATATCTAAAAGTAATACGATGGGAAAAACTTTCTCCATTTTTAATGTTTCTAATATGCTTTTGCAGCAGTTTTATCTCAAAAGAATCTTCTAGAAATATTCTGAACTAATCACATGTCTTTTGTTGACCGAACAAAATAATAAATTGTTGTTAAAAAATCACGAATATCGACCAACAGGTGCAAAACCTGAACCAGAACCTCCTTCCCAAGAAACTTTTCTTTTTAATTCTTTAGACATAAGAGCTTTTTTTATGTCATTAACAGAAAGTATAGTTCTACCATACAACATAGTATCCACAAAACTCTCATATAAACCAGGTAGTGAACACAGTAAAATTAGGCTTGATCTTCATCATCTATTTTAACCTCAACTCCTTGAAGATCAAGAATAATTCGATTAAAAGCATCGAGATGATCCTTCACCTGAGTACTTTCAAATATCTGAAAGGTGTAAAATTGTTGCTTCTGATATAACCTATTCGTGAGAAAGTTGTTCTGGTACTTTTCACACAGTTTATCCCATAATCCAAAAGCCGTCGTCTGATCTACAATCTTCCATAACACCTAATCAGTAACTGACAACAATATCGCAGAATGAGCCTTTGCCAAAATTTCATTCTTCACATTCTCTTTCGTGTCTTTAGGAAACTTGTTTTCTCCCTCCAACACAACCGCACATCCCTTTTGAATCAGAAGTGCCCTCATCTTGACCTTCCAAAGCGTGAAGCATTCGACCCATTAAACTTCTCCAGATCAAACTTATACGAATATATCATTAATCAACCAGATATAACTCTGATACCACTTGTTACTTGTTACAAAACTTGAGAGAATCAAGAAGAAAACAAACAAAAACACAATAAATAAAAATTTGATTACTCAGTTCGATTAAGATTAACTACGTCTGGCGGCGCTGTCAAGCTAGAAATTTTACTAATAATACGCAGAGCATTTGTTAAAGTAAAAATACATGGATATTTATAATTTAGCAAACCGTACTGCTGGAGAGCTAACTCCTCGTCTTCCTCAGCGATTAGTACCTGTAGTTGCTTGAGGGGGTAATCATGTCCCGGCGAGAATGACTTTTTGCAACGAAAACACAATCCTTTCGCACGTAGTTCCTTCAATACCTTGGGTGGAAGTCGGGTAAATCGAAAACGTGCCGTCGACAGTCCGGATGACACCGAGCTTATACCCACAGTTTGGCTTCCAACCCTTGGGCCACTACCACTCATATTGGTCATATTTCCGGAAATTGGACCATCGTCTGATGATCAAGAAAACCCCTATGAACGGTGTCCAAAGTTACCAATTGACTGGCTCCCTTGCTTGTCATTCTGCAAACTCAAGTTATCTTCGATAACCCTGGACAACTTCATCGCGGTCTCCAAATTAGTCGGTTGTAGTTCACCTCCGACAATCCGGAAACTTGACTTGTCAATTGAACAAAGTGCGATATATACTCATCCACTATTCAATGTCGCTTCACCTTTGATAATCGCTCAAAACAGATGCCTTTAAAACACATGTCAAGCCGCGCCACTAGTGCATGGGTGAATTCCTCCCATGGTAGCCCCAGGCAACGTGCACATAGCCACATCAGTCGATACAATGCTAGTCCTTCCATTGTGGCCCTCGCCATTGCTACCTTCTGCTCCGGTGACGTGCCGTAAATCTCGAATTATTGTTCAGCCCTCGCCATTGCACTATTATCCCACTGTGTCATGCGCTTCCCTTCACTCAGTGCTCTCGTCACCCATGCAGTTGTTGTCGCATTGCCACCCGACTGCAGTATGCCCCCTTCCTGCCCACTCGTCGGGCTCATCTCATCTACTGCCACTTATGGCGTCTTCCCCCTCAGTGGTGTTCCATTTGCCGATTGCACAGCCAGCTGCAGAAGAAATAGTCCTACTGTCAAGGCAGCCATAGATGCCGCAATATCGGCGAGTTGTGTCACCTGTGCATCTAGCTTCGCATCTTGCGCATCTATCTTTTCCTTGATTTCATTTTCATCTAACTCCAATCTAGTCAAACGTTCCCCGTTCGACAGAACCATCCCAACGGAAAAAAATCCATAAATTCTGACCAGTTGTTAGGAACATATATAAGAACAATCAAAGGTAATTCACGGAGTATTCGCAATTTCCGTCCCTATATTTAACCGTCTTTTCAATTTGTGTCCCTATAACATTAATTTCGTAAAAAATGTCCCTCTTTTTTGCTAATCTGCGCAAAATCTAGTCTAAACGCTAATTAGAAAAATATTAAGGGTAATTGAAGAACGCCGTTGACGGAGTAAGCACGTGCCACCCACGTGACCCTGCATTAGACCGAATCGGTTCTCATTAGACCCGGTTCTCCACGGAACCGGTTTGGTTCAATCCCGGTTTGGTTCGAACCCGGTTCTGTTCAAACTGCTCCATATCTTCTCCAGACCGATCTCATTCCCCATTTCTCAGTCCAGTCGCGAGAAGCCCTAGGTCCTTCGAGCATCGCCACCCCATTTTCCCCACCGATACTCCACCCATATTTACAATTGCAAAACCCTAATTCTCATCAATCATTGTCATCTCTAGTCGAGTTGGATTGAAGGCGGAGTTAGTTCAGGAGTTCGTTCGTTCAATTCCGTCGTGGAGGCGTAGATTCCAGTGTGTGGTTGACAATGGCGCGTAGAAGCAAGCACGCTCTTGATTTCACCCCCAATTACAGTAAGTTGAAAGCCCTTAATTTGAAATATGCTTACGGTTTACGTATTATAATTTTTTCAGTCTATGATAGGATTGTGGTTAATTTGTTTGATGTCATCTATGAAAGGCTTAAATTTCAATAAAATGAGGTAAACAAAAGAGATTATATTGTGCTAGAAATTGAATTATGTCCAGTAAATAACATTGTGGTTACGTGTTGATTTATATTCTTTTGTTCTACTGGTTTGAATGAATATACTACATTATGTTAAACACTTAGCATTATTGAAATGTAGGGGCGATGTTCAATGAAGATTCTTCTGCTACTTTGAAAATTTATTTTGGCGGGGTGATGAGACATAAGCCTCGTAGGGAATATTTAGGGGGAGAACATGATTATTTTGATTTTGTTGATATGGATAAATTAAGTGTGTTGAAAATGTGGGGATATGCAGAGGAATTGGGATATAAAGAAGCGAATAGTGTTAGATTTTGGCTGAAGTACGGTAACAACTTTGATAGACAATGCAAGTGTTTGGAAAGTTATAAGGATATATTGTGGATGACAAAACATATTCCAGATAATTATGAACTCGAAATATACTTAGAACATCTGGATATCGGGCTTAGCCAAGATCCTCAATCCAATCTAATTAGTGGAATAGAAGATTTAGGTGGTGAAGTTCCTCAGGCTAGTGATTGTGTAGAAAGTGAAATGGAAGAAAATGATTCTGATTTTGATGACTCAGATAATGAAGTTGAGTTAGAGAGTGGGGTCCTCGGGGTTGACATTGAAGGTAGGATGAAAGGAAAATCAATTGTGGATGATTCAACAGTTGCTGAAGATGTTTTGAACATTTTACAAAAAGAGGATGGTGAGGCAGATGTCATGGGTAGTGATAGTGAGTTAAATAGTGGGATGGAAAGTGATAGAAGTGAGAATGAGGGGACAAACCAGTTTGAAATATATAATTCAAACACTGGTGGTGAAAATCTAGAGCTGAAATTGGAGTTGTTGTTTAAGTTGAGGGTTGAGGCTGAGTTTGCCATTGAAAGCCATTGTTTTAAGAGGGGGATAAGTGTGCAATTTCCAAAAGATTGACAAGAGTATGTTGAAAGCCACATGCAAGAAACAGAGGTGTGGGTGGTTCGTGCTCGTGTCCAATGTGCAGGGTGATGAAGCATGGCAGTTGCGTAGCATGAATGAAGTTCATAGCAAATGTGGATGGACTTATGGCTGTTGGCTTGCAGCCTTCTATTAGGGAGTCGGATAATCTCACAATGGTATGCTTTGTAAAACTTCAATTCAATTCCATTTCACTTGATAACCGTCGTGTTTAGTTTCAATGTTTACAGGATATTGGTGATGCTCCATCAACAAAAAGATCATGCACTAGGCCAAGGAAGAAAAAAAACACCAACTTAGGTAATTGTATGGTCTGTTTATATGTACTTTCATTTCACAAGTTCATTGTCTGGTCTGCTGTTTGTGTTTCTAGGCTAACACCAATGCTCGTTCAAAAGCGAAAATCCGCACCAGTCCAAGGAAAAAAATGGCTTCAATTAAAGTACAGTAATATTTTTTTGGGAATGTTAGATACAATTTTTATCACAACTCTGGTACTAAATGAACTCTCTTTATTTGTAGATACCTTCGACGTCCAACACCATTCATACATTTGTTATTGTTAAAAGGAGGAAACACATTCATTACCTTATCCAGACTGCAATCGTGTGTTTCCAATAGAGTATATGGTGGCAGCACGACAGTCGTGGCACCAATCGAAGCACACATCCAGCCAACATAAAAAATAAGGGCATGAGGTGCCTCAAATGATAAAAAGAGAGCCAATCCAAGAAAGCAAGATAAACCCACCAAAAAGAAAAAGTAGAAACTTCATGCGCCTAATAAAAATTTACTGCCCTTAATTTGCATTTCATCTTGTGAGTCAATATGTTTGAAAACTCTTGGGAATTATGTTTTGATGGGGAACATCATGGATTGTTGGTATTTCAATGTGATATGCAATTTGAAATATTTGGGGACTTAGGTATTGACATTTGTTTATGTGATTTACTTTTAAGTAAATTTTATTTTTTCTTGGCAATGCACACAGGTTCATCAATCGTTGTCTAATTGTGATTGTTTATTTTACGTTTTTGCATAGGTTGATTCATGCACTGAGTTGTATAATTACACACCATTGATATTCCATACAAACGAACACAGGTTCCCCTATACACAACACAAGCTGCTCCAATTTGTAATCACATTCCATACAAACGAATTGATCTCGATCAAACTTAAAGATGCGAAATATATTACGACTACAACATTTCTTCATACAATAACAAGCAATGCTCCTTCCAATACGAGAATCCAAAGCCGAGTTTCAAGCAAAAAATATTACAACAACACAATAGACCGACACAATACATCAACATTTCAACTTACGATATAACAACAACAATCCAACCCCTGGATCACGCAACACATTATCACTAATATTACTATTTGGCGATAGCCAATTTCGGAGGTGAGGTGGTGTTGACTATCGCCATAAAGCCGAATACTAGAAAAATGAGCGCAATAATCCCCATATTAAGTAATATTAAACTGCTATGCTGTTTAACATAGCCAATGTGCACCGACGGAGGTATGTTTTGTACAGCCTAATTAGGACAAGCTTTGTACCGCCTACCCGGATTGCTTGTGCTCCATGAGGTAAGCAATGGGAGCTCATATCCACATCTACACACCAACTTTGGAATATCCTCAATTGGGGACTCTAATCCGCGGATTTCTTGAGAAATTGGCTCGGGATGAAAACATCGAGCTCATTCTCTGAAATCCAGCAAGAATTGGAGGAATGAGCTACTGAACTCTACCTTCAATCTAGCTCGTTTAATGAACTCTACCTTTAATCTAGCTCGTTTAAGGATGGCGATGCTCGAAGGACCTAGGGTTTCTCGCGACTGGACTGAGAAATGGAGAATGAAATCAATCTGGAGAAAATATAAAGCGGTTTGAACAGAATCGGGATTGAACCGAACCAGTTCGGTCTAATGCAAGGTCACGTGAATGGCACGTGCTTACTCTGTCAACGGCGTTCTTCAATTATCCTTAATAATCTTCTAATTAGCGTTCAGACTAAATTTTGCGCAAACTAGCAAAAAAAATGAACATTTTTTTACGAAATTATTGTTACAAGAACACTAATTGAAAAGACGGTTAAATATAGAGACGGAAATTGCGAATACGCGATAATTCACCATTACTTTATTTCTTCCGTAACCCCAATAGTCCGAGGCAAAAATTTAAATACTCTTCTGAGTACTTCAAATTCAAAATAGAAATAAATAACAATAATTTCAAATTAATACCAGTCAAATAAACCATAACCCACATAAGGTGAGTTCATGACCGATTCCGTGGATGGTAAGCTGCAAAACTAATCCCCTTGCACCACGTCAAGACTCTACTAGAATCCTATCTAGATGCAATTGTTATCTTATACAGCTTTCTAGCCATTATGGTTATCCAGATGATTTAAAACACACAAAAACATGCTATAATTGTATAATATCACATAAAACACAATCAAACTAAACACATACAAATCATCAATCAAACAAAACAAAACACAACCAACTAATAATTTTGTTTTCAAATAATAATAATAATAATAATAATCTTAATACGGCAGAGCAGCATTTCAGTTCAAAAGATTCCATTAATCTCAACTACAAAAAAACAGATGTTACCTGGAGACAACCATAAATACCTTAGACTAATAGGCACAGTGCCTCCAACTACCGACTTTCTAGTCGGAATACCACCAACGATCACAACCACCTTAAGGGAATGAGTTCACGATGTCACTTGGGAATGGTTTTCGTGAACTACAGGAGCGTGGTGGCGACTATAGTTGGGGGGGCCTGCACCCCTCCCGCCTCGCCCTCTGTAATTATAATTGTTCCTCGGGTAATAACCGCCAGGTTGGTCGTAGTATAGGTTGCGCCCATTCTGATAATCGCCTCGGCCGTTGCCTCTCCCTCCACGGCTGTTTCCATATCCTCTACGGTTGGCGCCACCACGGCCACCTCTGTAATTTTGATATGGTTTCCGAGTGGTGTGCTGCTGCTCTTTCAAGTCCTCATCCCTTGAATTTTGTTCGATTTCTGTATCAGGGATGGCGTGCTCTGCTTGAGGCTGGACCTCTGATACATTCTCTACCTCAGAAACTTCCTAAAACCAAAATGAACAAAAACGCCTTCAACAATTATATGCTCAATTTTAATAAGGAAAGCAATGACTAATTATTACTTGATGGGCTTTTCCAGTTTCGTCGTAATAAACATCGTTGCTGGGTGAAGTGGGGGATTGTTCTTCCTGTGTTGCACGGAGTTTGAAAATTGTTACACAGACAAAAAAGTACATCACAAGTAACATTATATATACAATTTAAGGGTCATAATCTGATATATTTGCGAGCATACAAGAAAATACATCATAAACATGGCGATTAAAGCTGTGAACCAAGTCCTCATACAACTGTAATATAACAGCAAAACTGCACTCGATCAAAATCAAGAAACGTGTAATGCGAAATAAGAGAATATTGAAACTAGAAACTAGGCATGTTAATCGGCATGTCCTAAAGTGATAGCATATATACATCCTACAAACGAATGGGTTCCACATTAAGAATCAATTAAGGTTGAGAATAAACATCTAAAAATTACCTCTTTCTGGGAATTCACAGCCGATCCTTCTGTTGGTTCAGACGCACTGACTGGTATGGTAATGGATGCATGCCCAGGCAATTGAAAAACATAATCTCCAGCAGCAGCTGCCACTTCCACCGGGGCTTTTATTTCTGGAGCAGTAGTGAAGTAGTCTGAAGCCATAATTTTACTCAACTTTTCCCTCAAGCCAGCATCTACGACAGCCACAGAATACAAAAATGTCACAAACTCAAAATTCATTAAATCTAATCCATCTTGGAAAAGACTCGCCAACAAAAATAAGCTGCAGGAACATAATGTAGAAAATAAGTATCAATTTACAACATTCGAAATGAGCACAAACCCCCTTATTAGAGATCACTACAATGGTAATCAAAATTAAACAAACAAAAAATATTGCTCCCTCTCTCCATTAAATCCATACCTCAAATCTATACCTGTTTTCCTTTTTTGTTTGTCCACAAAAATATACACTTTCTATTTGTAACAACTAGCTCATATACACTCCTTAATTTATAACATTTAATATTACATGTATTTACAAATATATCACAACTACATACCACACTCAATCTATAAAAAAATTTCTCTTACTTCACTCATATGCATCTCAAAATATCCCTTCTTCATGTCACAATCAACTAATATAATACCATATTCATTAAAAACTTTATCCAACCCAAATGGACATAAATTTGGTGACGGAAGGAGTATTATTCATCAAACACATCAGTCATGTTTCAGTTCGAGAGACCACTAACCACACAATTCAGCATATTGTCCACATGAATACAAACCATACATATACATGCAATCATAGCAACAGAAACTATGCAATGCTTGCAAATTAGAAAGCAAAAATTATCATCTATTCTAATCATATGCATTTATATATAACAGCACAGAAGAATCTATGTAACACACCAAGAAAGATGATTTACTCGTACACTTCAATACAGCATTGTATTCTCTAAGCAAAACACAGAATGACTATAAACAATAGGATCATACCTTAAGCAAAATAAAAAAGTCTCATCAATCAGAGAGAGCATAAGAAATTGAAACAGGAAAAGAGATTCTAAAACGAAATGCACATTTTAAGAGCAATGGTTAAGCTTTCATACAAGTGATGGTGGAGTCGGGCTCAATCGGCTGATCTGCTTTCGCAAGCCACAACTTGGCATGCTCCACACACTTCTGCAACGCGTTCTTATGCGACAGGCGTGAGTTAACTGGGCGTGAAGTTAGCATTGCTCCAAGTGTAGCAATTATGTCTAAATCCCACTCTTTCAGAGGATCCTCTGCAGTATCTTCATCGGTGACGTAATCATAAGTTAAGCAGCAGTTCCTCTCGTGCGTTCTCGTAAGCATATTATCGTGAGCCCTCATCAATGTCTTCACATCGAAAACTGTAGCAAAGTACAGAAGATTAAGCAGATCAGAAACCTCCGAAACGCCGTCGTATTCCCCATTCGCTTCCGGTTCCGCCTCATTCTGGATTTCTGCAGTCACATCAGATTTTTGCTTATTTTTCTCCATGTAGAGTTCAATTTCCTGATCCACTGCTCGCGAGAGAGGCAGGCGAAGTTTTTCGAGTTCGTCAATGCCGGCGAGGAGCGAGGGTTTGGTAAGTAGGGTCTCTTCTTGCTCCTTATTGAGCGTTTTGCCTTGACACCGAGACTCCTCCATCTGATTTATGCGGTTAAGCTTCTTCCTCAAGGCTCGAAGGCGCTTGTTCACTAGACTGAGGACAGGTCCTTCGATGGCGATTTCAGAGGCTGAGGATACAGACGCCATTGCTAGCTAGCGGTTGATGCGGTGACACAACTACTGCAGCAAGCGATTAGGCTTTACGCCGCGGCGGCGGAGAGGAGGGGAAAAAGAGGGGTTTGGTGAGGGTTTTTTGTGGAGAAGATGAAGCGGCGAGTTGGGTGATGAAAGAGTACTGACTTAAAAAAGCAATAGAAAAAATAATAATAATTCACTTAATGCCAATTATTATAAATTAGTCTATTTGGACTCGGCCCATTAAAAAAATAAATATTTTATTAAAAAATTGATAGTTATACGAAAATATTTTTAAAATTTTAATTAAAAAATAAAAATAAATAAAAAAAATATATATAATAAAATTAGTAGTATTTGTTATAAATAAATATTTGAATAAAAAATAATAATTAAATATTAATTTGTTGATTTTGCCAAAATTAATAATAAAATAAATTTAATAAACAAACTAAAAAAGAAACTAAGAATAAATTTGACCGACTTATGGAGAATATCAAATTATCAAAAAAGTTTCTAAAAAATTTTCACTTTATATTTTTCCTAAAACTCTCTCGTTATATTTTTTTTAATTTCAAATTTTTATTTTTATTTTTTAATAAAATACTAATTTACAAAATTATCAAATATATTCAAAATTTTCAAATTGTGCAAATTCTTTTGCTTTAACTGAATCTGTTTGACAAGATCCGCCGCAGCCGTCGTCTCCATTCGCTTACCTGGCCAGCCGTCTGCCCACACCGTCCGCAATGACTTTCCGTCAAAAACAAATTTATTTTAAGTTAATGTTATTCTATAATTTTAATTTTATTTTGTAGTATTATTTATTTTTTAATGTGTTCTATATGTTTTTATTATTAATGTAGCTATTTGGTCTAGTTATTTATATTGAAAATATTCAAAATATTATCAAAATTATTTGTTAGTTTGTTTTCTTTTATCTTGATTGTATTTTCTTGCGTGAATAATAATTTTGGATGTTTGTTAAATAAAATCGATTGATTTCTTATATTAAAAATTTTCAAATTTGTTGAATATATATTTTTTTGTATTTGTAGGAAATAGTTGATGATTGTCGGGCAATTTATTGCAAAATATAATTTTAATGCGGTCAAGTCTTGTTAGTAAGGCCGAGTTGTGTGAGTGAAGTGTTCATCATTGTATATCTTTTAAATATTTTATTTTTGTTGATAAATATTATACCTAAATTGTTTGTAATCTTCATTTGTGTTTTAATTTGATTCAGCAGTGCATCAAAAAATTACCGTGAATAACTGAGAAATTTTTCACTAAATACACTAAAAACCATGATATTACCTCTTAAAAAATAAAATGTTACAAGCTAAAAAAACACAAATATACAATCTTGATATTTATTGTGCTCCGATGCAACAAAGCATGTTTCCGCAAGCTTGCAGAAACATATTGTATTTTCACTTAAAAAAACCAATTTTAGCCAAGAAAATATCTATTTTTGACAAAAATACAACATATTTCCGCAAGAGAAAGAAAAAAAAAACGGAGGCCCGTAAAAGTAAGAGTCTAGGTCGTAACTCCACAAATATATATATATATATATTATATACATAAAAGATGAAAGACTTTGTTTGCCTAATATATTTTCATTCATTTGATACTATTCATTTTTCAAAAAATATCACATCAAATACATTTTTTCTCCACAAAACATTAAATCAAATACTAACATTTTACATTTTTTTTAAAACTTTCAAATTTTCAAAAACCTCTAAAAATTTCTATCTAAACAAAGCCGAAACTTCGGAACCAACTGCTGCCACCACTGAGACGCCCCCAACTAGAATGGAAAGAACGTATTGCTTCCTTGCCTCTTGATTTCTCCGTTTCAGTTAATTTGTGTACAAAGTTTTAAGTATTGTATAATTAATAATTAATTAAGACATGCAACTGGCTGTCTCTTCCTGTTGAGATACCCAGGTCAGATGACAGGTCAGCATTTTGAATTTTCATTTTGAATTTTAACCCAAAAAAAATATCTAGTAAATATCTCTGCAGAGATACTCATCAAATTTTTACTTTTTGTTTTATTTAATTTTTATAATATTTCTATTTATATTTTAATTATTTTTTATATTTTTGTATTATATAAAATTTTATTTTCTACATGATGATATATATATAGATACATTTTTTAAAATTTTAAAAATAATTAGTTTTAATATAAATATAAATATTTTTTTTTTTTTTGAATTGGAAGAGAAAAAATATGACATGGAGGAAAGATAACGTGTGATATGAAAGTGTAGAGATATTTTAAGTGAGTATTTTTATTGCAAATTTTTATAATTTAATAAAAACAATTATAAATTAAAATTAAAATAACTAATTAATTTAATTAATATTAAAAAATTAATAGGGTATTATATTAATGGATCAGTTTTATAGAATCCATTAACAAATAAAAAACAGTTGTGAGGATTGGATTTTGGGTTTAGGGTCGGATTTATTGATTGAAAAATTCAAATGGTTTTCTTATTATTATTGAAAAAATCAATTCGGACCAATTAAATTGTCTGAAATTTGATTATAAAATCAGAACGGAACTGAAAATCTAGAATCTGAACATAAAAAAAAATGTGAAATTGCATAATATATTTAAAAAATCCAAAAGTTTTTGATAATTTTTTTATACTTTTCATTAAAATATTAACTATATATACTTGTTGGATCCTAAAATTCGGAGGTTCCAAGAATGTTCGTCGATTTGTTGGTGTGAGTTCCGGAAGTACTCTAAAGAGCCTGTCCGTCGTCGGATTGGAGGCTGCTCCTACGATGGAGCCTGCATAGCTTCGATCTTACACGAGGCTTCGAGCCTAGACGACCGATTTCGATGGATTTAAAATAACATCTACTAAAACTCGAATTAATCTACTGGAAAATGGATAAAGATAAGCTAGAAACATAAAGCCATCTAATTCGAATTAAAATACCTAAAAACGGAACTAGAACATGAAGAGAAAATAGAGAAAAATACGAGTTGATTTTTTTGTGGCTGTGTGTTGTGTTTTTTCCTAATTTTAATCCTAAACTAGAATAACCACCTCTCTCACTAAAAGGAGCGATTACAATTATTTCTCCACCACTCTCAACTACTTGGTAACCTCCCACTACTACCTCCAACCTGGTAACCTCCTTCCACTAGCTCCTAACTGCCTAGTAACTTTCTTCCATGAACTCCCTGGTAACTTCCTTCCATAAGCTCCTAACCATCTTGTAACCTCCTTCCATCGGCTCTCAACCGCTTCCATTGCCTCTCGACCGGGTTCCACTTGCTCTGAACTTCTTCCATTGCCTCTGGACCATATCTGATGTTTACTCCGACTTGTTTCCATCGTACTCCTAACCGGTCCACGGGGATGTATCCCCAACAACCTCGAGTTAAATGGAATCTTCGATTTTCCTCTTGTTGGCTTGTTCCATAGAGCTTTTTAAATAAAGTATGAGAGTGTATTGGCCTCCACTAATGTTAAGTACGAAATTATTAACCTAGGGTTAACAGAAGTAGTTATTCCATGATCTGTGGAAGCTGTTGCTTTCTACTTTGTGGAGACAGCCTTTCTCTACTTTGTGGAAGCACCGCAGTCCAATGGAGGTAGTTGTTTTCAACCCAATGGAGATAACACTTTCTGACCTTATAGAAGCATTGTTCCGGGATGGAGTCGCCATAGTTAAAGGAGTTGCTGCCCTAAGGTCCATGGATGCTGCTGCTTTCGGCTCTGTGAAAGCACCACAATCTAATGAAAACTATTGTCTTCGGCTCTGTGGAAGCAGCAGTCTTTGGCTCCGATGCTTGAAACTCTATTGCTGTTGAGCGGCTTCGTGGCTAATGAGCTCTGGCACCACTTTTATCTTTAAGTCTCCTTCTCGTTCAGGTGTTTTTGGATTCATATCCAATAATATTTATACATGTATTTTAGATTTTTAATTAGTTCAAAATTTATAAAAATTTAATCCAAATCAATACAAAAATTCAAATCTTTAAATTTAACTTGCAATATATCCGACCTGAACCTCTATCGAACTTTAAAATAAAATAAAAAAGAAGCCCTCTGTAAATTAGAGATATCAATTTTAACTCTCTCCATAAAAAAGGCCAAATCGTACTATTCTTCTCCCTAATAATTATCATGAACAACAGGAAAAGAGAAAAACCCTACTCCTCCCGCCACGCCCCTTACGCCCTCCACAAGCGCCGCCGCCGCCCACTGCCCCTCGACGCCGACGATGCGCTCCAAGATTCTTCCTCCACCTCCGCCGCCGCCAAGCTGCAGACCTCCGTGGTGGTAATCGGAGTGCCGACGGACTGCTCCGTGCTGGATATCAAATCCCGATTCGAGATGTACGGGCCGATATCACGGACGCGGATGGAGCCCAACGGCGTCGCTCACGTCAATTTCAGATCCGCCGATGCCGCTCAGTCCGCCGTCGACGCAGCTCGAGATTCTAGCTTTCCGATTACCCTAAATTCGACTCCAGTATGCTCCCTCGGTTCTTTACCTTTTCAAATTCCCAATTTGCCCTTTCCCCCCTCCTCTTTTATCGGAAACCCTAATTATATAAATTAGAGTTGAATTTGACTCAGTTCGTCAATGAAGGTGCAGGTAGTGCTTGCCAGCGATCCAATTCCGCAGTGGGAGAGAGGAATTGGGAGGAATGACGGTCTGTCTTCAAAACTGGTCAGGGCAGAGTTGCCCTTAAGTAGACATGGGAGAGGTAATAAGCTTGGTTCAGCTATTGTGAATCCCAGAGATGACAAAAGTACAATTATTGATCCCATTGGTGAAGATGATAAGCTTAAAGGCGCCATTGCTGCTGATTCAGGTATGGATCGGACTTTCAAGGGCAGGGAAATTGTTGCTTATGATGATATTTTGTGATTCTGATCTTTAGGAAAGTTTGAAGCTTGGGTGAATGTTACTTAGTGTAATGTAAGTTTTATATTGTGGTTCCTATTGTTGGCATCTGATTTGATTATTTTGGAAGACACATGAGAAATTTAGAATTAATTATAAAGGGTTTCTCAATTTACATTAGTCACTGTAATATTTTCATGCCATTCGGACATTGTTTATGGCTTGTGTAGCTAATGTAGAGATAAGATAATACACATCACACAATTCAATGAAATTGGACTCCTCGAGCAAAAATCAAAAGTTTACCATTAAATAAAATCAATTAAAATTATTTTTATCAATTTTGATCCTTTTCTTTACAATCCAACGGATTTTATTTTTTATGTTCATTTTGCTTGAGTTGGAAAATTTTGGTTTGAATTTGGTATTAAAATAATATTTTGATGAGATATTTTGTGAGAAAAGTGTATTTTTTTTAAAAAAACGTAAAGTTCAAATAATAAAATTTTAAAAAATTGATCTAAAGAAACAGACTCTAAATCAAATATATATTTTTAATATCATATTAAAAATTAATTTTAAATTTAAAAGATATATTGTTGGAGCTGCTCGGGAGTAAGTCCTCGTCAATGAAACCCATAATGGGTTTCTTCCATCTCTCTTCTTCTCTACGTCATATTCTCTCTTACACGTTATCTTAAAAATCCATATAATTTTATATACACATCAAAAAATTAATTTACACAAATTTTAATTTTTTTTTCTATATTATTAAATTATTAATTTTTAAAATAATTTTATCTAATATACATATTTCTTAATATTTATTTAATAATTTAATTTATATGTTATAACAAATATTTATTAATATGATTATTATTATTATGTTCATATTTTAATTTTTAATATCTCAATTTAATTGGGACACGTGTAACAACTCTGTTGTTGAATTGCCGGGCAGAGCACCAGTGCTCTTTTCCCTTAATTTTCATGTCATTTTTTTAATTTTTTTTTATAAGGTAAATGACGCCGGGGTTTCTCTGCAATGGAGAAACCCCGATGTGGATGCCCTAAGAGGACGGACAAGGACTGCTTTATTTAATTCACCTAATTGTATAAATAATATAAAAAAATATATGTGTATATTAGTTATTTTTGAAAATATATTTTATTTTTTACAAACAAATAAACCCGTAATTATTCATTAAAAATAGTCACTTGTCTTTTTTGATAACTAATTTAAATCTTTATTGATAATATATAAAGAAAAAATATATTTAAAACTTGGATTAATATATATATTAACAGTTAATTTTTTTATTTCTTCTATTTGAACTCATATTTCCTTCTTCAATTTGAACATATGGATATGGATACCAACATAGCAAATATTATATACGATTTATTTTGTAGTAATTTAGAAGAAAATGATCAAATGTTCAATATTAAGATTCTCAAGTTGATGATACGGTGAACGGTGATATTCAAGAATAAACTTTTGTTGACCTAAATTCCGAAATTGATGTTAAACATGTTAATAAATTTGTTGATATTTTATTTCTTCTCACATATAAACAATTTTTTTCTGATTTTTTTTGCTCAAACATCCATGATATTCTTCTCATTTTATTTTTCTTATAGAAGATTTTTTTTTTTTGTAATTTTATGCAATTTTTTGTATTTCTTTGAATTTATTGCTTAGTATAATTTTCTATATGTTGTATAATAAATTTATATTATATGACAATATATTCTTATTTTAAAATAAAAATATGATTTTTTTAGGTGAACGTTACTCATATTTGAGATTAAGAGAAGAAAGATTATTGAGAATTTTATTTTATTTTTTAGAGTTGCTAGTGAAAAGAAGAAAATAAATATGAATAAGAAAAGAGATAGGTGAAAAATTTTGTTGAGTACAAAAAGAAAAAATAATACATAATTTTCTAAAAATAAAACCATACATATATAGAAATTATATTAAAATTAATAAAACGGTAAATTAAAAATAGAAAATAAAAATATAAAAATAAACGATATCATATAATTTTTTTCAAGATATAAGTAAATACATATTTATTTTCGATTGAGATAAAAAAAAAATAAAAATTAAATGATTGAATTTAATTTTCCGTAAAACAAGAAAAGTTTTGAAAAATACATTGGCCCAAAAAAAACTACTTACATTAATAAATAAAAAAATATATTGCTCAAAAATAAAATAAAATAAAAATAAAAATTGAACAAACAATCGACATCATCAATTTGAAATAATATTTAGTCTAATTAATGATATAACTTATCTTTAATGATTATATTTTTATGATATATATTTTGTTTAGAGATAGAAATAATAATAATTTTTATTTTTATTTTTATTTTAAATGTAAATAGGCTTAATTATTTTAGTTTTATATTTTTTAAAATGAAGATTTATTAATAAATCATGAAAATTTTTGTTATTGAATTGAGATTAAAAATAACCAACGGTATTATTATTATTACACAATCTTAATTTAATTTTGGTACTGTTTAAAATTAATAGTTAATAGCATATTCAAGAACACGTTATTGACATAAATCCAAAAGAAAATTAAATTAAGCAGATTGATGGGTCATATAAAAGAATGATATATGATAATTATTAAAGTATATTTCAATACTATCAAAAGTACATAAAAAAGTCAAGATATCAAAAAAAAAATAGTGTTTTAAAAAGGGTATTAACAAAAGAAAAATATGCATACATAGTACGAGATAAACCACAAATAGCCTCGACACATAAGATGTCCAAAAGAGTAGGATATCCCATCCATCTCAATATCATAAGTAAGAAGATGGATCATGAATTATTTTAAAAACAATTACAACATACAATCATGATCTCCATCAAAATATGTAAATTCTAATGTCTGCTCAAAGGAAAATTGGTATACAGATTAAGAGACAATTGCAGGATAATAACATTGCGGGCATAAGGCCAAGTAAGAACATGCAATTGTGTGAAGTTAAAACTGGTGAACCTGAAAGCATTAATGTCTTCCAAAAGATTGTAAAAATTTTATGAAGAGTAGAAAAATGTTGAGATTAGATGATGGAGATGCATAAGTTATGCACAAACTTTTTGCAAAATTGCAATATCCAAGATAGAATTTTTTTTATGCGATAGACATTGATGATGAGAAGGTTAAAAAATGTGTTGTGGATTTATCCAAAAAGTCAAGTATCATATGAAAACTTCAATGATGTAGTGAACTTTGATACAACATACATTGTCAATAAATACAACATGCCGTTTGGAGCTTTTGTTGGAATTAATCATCATAGTCAGTCTATATTGCTAGGATGTACTCTGATGACACATAAAGACTCGGCTTTATTTAAATAGATTTTTTAAATTGGGTTCAAGCAATGTATGAGTTGCGACCTAAAGCCATATTGATTTATTAATGTGAAAACATTAAAATAGCAGTAAGAGAGGTGTTTCTAGACAAACATCGATATTGTTTGTGGCATATAACGTTGAGATTACCTTTGAAGTTTAAGGTTATTCAGGAGTATAATAAGATGATTTTCGAATTTAAATGAATTGTATATGATAGTATTACGGTTCCTAATTTTGAAAAAAATTGAGTTGAATTTTTAGTCAAATATGGGTTGAAAAACAAAGTTTGGCTTTGAGATTTATATGTTGAGAAGAAAAAGTGGTTTTCAATTTGCTTGAATACATGTTATGAGTTGATAAGATTTCAACACAAAGAAGTGAAGGAATGCACACATATATTTATGATTATATCCACTCAAGATGCACACTGAAAGAATTCATATAATAACATGTTGTGACAATTGACAAGAAGATTTAGAAATAATTTATGACAAACTTTGATTAAAAAATAAAGATCAAAGCATGCAAAATTAAATTTTAATGGAAGGGTCAACTCCAAAAAGTTCACACAAATGTCATATTTGTAAAAGTTCAATAAGAAATTGATTAAATACTATATTGCAATATTATTTCAGGTCCTAAAGATGATGTTGTTGAAGTTGATAGTGAGAATTTTTTATTTTTATTTTTATTTTTTTTTGATGGAAATGATACTTTGAAATGATTTCTTTGTGAATGAATACACTTATAAAGTTCAAGAGTTCAAGAAATTTCATTAAGTTGAAAAGCATTTTAAAAAATGTGTTGACACTACCAAAATAATGTCCATTTATAGCGGATTCTCATCCACAATAATTATTTTGTTGTAAAAGCTGTTTTTTTAACCGAATATTTCGTAAAAAAAAATTTGTTTGGTCAACTTTTTTTTGTTTTTCTTGCGATATTTCTTCTGTAACAACTGCAACTATTAGAAAATATCGTCCTATTTATATTTGTTACGTTTGTTCAAACTTTACAAAAAAGTAGTAAAAGTTAATTTTTCAAAGTAAAAATGATAATAGAAAAATTAAATTTTAAAAAAATATAAAAAATATTCCCATAAAAATATATTTTGTAAATAAAAATTAAAAAAAATTCTATATAAAATATTTTTTAAAATAACAAATTAAAATTTAAAAAAAATATAGTTAAAAAATTAATATAAATAAATATTTTTTTTAATAAATGAACACGTATTTTCATATTTTTTTAATAATTTTTTTTTTTAAAAAATTAAACTTCAAATTTGAAAACATATTTTAACAATTTTAATATAAAATAAATAAAAATAAAAATTTTATAATAATAAATTATATTTATAAATATAAAAATACAAATAAATATAAATATAATATACTATAAATAATATAATACAATAAATACAGACAATTCGAAATGAAGAAGATTTACACGAGATATGCGACTCCTCCTCTTTGCCCTCCGGAGCCAAGCCGGTTCGGTTCCCTCCGCCTCCCGCCGCCACGGTCGCCATCCGTCGATTTCCTCTCTGGCGCTGTTCCCGCTGATTCCTCACTTCGGCGACCCGTCGTTCATGAAAGGTAGGGCTTAACCTCGCCGGCGCTCCGGTGGCTCCTCCGACCGGTGGACTGGGGTTTTGAGGTCTCCTTTTCCCTAATTTCACTTCTCCGGCTTCTATTCGTCCTTTCTCCAGCTTGTACCAGCGTCCCAATAGGAGCTTCGTATGTGTGGTTTTATCCTTCAATAAAAGAGTAGTATAATCATCATTATTTATTTATTTAATGTTAAGATAAATAAAAATTTTAAAAATAAATTGAATAAATTATTTATAACAATTTTTCAATTGAAATTATTGAAATGAAAAATAACAAAAGTCTAATGGTATAAACGAAAATATAATGTATATCAAAATAAATAACAATACTAAACGATAAACATATACACATTTTTATCTCTATGCATATTGTATGCAATATGATATTAATAAATTATACAATTAAAATATATTAATAGGGCAAAACAATAAAAGATTTGGTTTCACAAAATTATGCCAAATTTCACATACTTTTAAAATTGTGTCAAATTTCCTCGTAATTTCATAAACTCTATTACTAACTCCTCCCTCGGCCTTTTTTTTATTTAATGGTGTTTGATCTGCACGCATCCAAACTGCAAATGTTAAATCACCTGGTGTAGGTTAACGAATTGACTTTTTATTGTTGATATTTATGTGTTTGACATGATAAATCTCTAAATTCTTCACCGATTTTACTTGGTAGACTCTTTATGTGCACTGCATAATTAAAATTGATGTGAAACAAGTTATATTTTCTATTAAATTTGATAGTCAGGAAGTTCAATTTAATATTTTTCGATTCTATGAAATAAATTAGAGAATCCAACATCTTGTTTAATATGAATATTATTGACAAAAATATGCAGGGAGTTTTGAGATTGAATGACAAATCAATTTTGACATAAAATCGAAACCCCCACCGAATCAGTCAGAGCCTACTTATTTAAATGATTATATGAATCTTGCAAAAAAAAAAATAATAATAAATTTGCGAGTAATCATCATTTTAAACACTACAAGATAATACTTATATAACCATATAATTAGATATAGAAAAATTATATAATATACATGACAAATTATTTTGTTATAAAATTAGCCACAACGAAGTATTTATTGGCTATAAGTAGTAAATCTAATTTAGTTACATAAACAACCACAAAATTTTGCTACATAATTTTTCCATAAACTTATTTGTCATAGCCACAAAATATGTTTGCTATGAATTTTGTCATTGAATAATTCTATAAAATAAATTTACAATATTTTGTCACATAAATTGTCATGGTTCATTACAATGAGTTTTGCTAAAATAAAATAAAATAATTATATAAATTATATATACTATGCAGTTTTTTCACATAAATAATATATGCAACAAAAAAATCATGATATAATATTTACATTCTAAAAATAAAATATTATAAATATTAATTGAATGCAAAAATAATTTCAAACTATTAGCACAAAATTTAAAATTTTAAACACAATACTTTAAAAATTCACTACGGTACAAAATCAAAATTTTAAACGTAATATTCAAATGACTAATAATTAAATATTCCAAACAAAAAATTATAAAACACAAGTAGTTAATTCAATAAAAATTAATAAATAAAAATCTAACAATTTCAACGATATTTTTCTAATCAATTAAGGTCTTTGTAAAACTAAATTAATCAAATCTTGAAACTTTTTATTTTGAGTTTTTACTTGAACTTGGAATTGTGATATTAACTCTTGTCATTGTTTCTCTAATTGTGCTTGTCGTTCTTCTATTTCAACATTTTTAATCTAAAATTTTGTACATTACTCCTCCAAACGTTTGATAGTTTCTTCATTTTCCTCTGAACTTCCCTTGAAATTGATAGATTGAGAAACTTTATGTCTTATTTTACTTTCAGAATCAAGTCTTGGTAATCTTCTCTTCTTTATCCCAATCCTCTCGATGTTGATTTCTTGATCGCCTGATGTTTGAAGATCATCATGCCGAAATTAATAGGATTTTATTTTCAACATTTATATAAAAAAATTAGGTTAAATGTAAAAATTATATTGTGTAAACAAAATAAAATACTGCAAAAGAATATTAACATACATATTAGCCCCTCTATCCTAAATCGAAGGCGCCTTTTGGGGTTTTGTAGAAGATTTAGAAATAATATTATTTTATTAGTTAGTGGAAGTGTGTAAGATTTTTTTGACATTTTTTCTATTTGAGTTTACGTATAAAGTAATTATATGTGTAAAGATATTTTTGTAATTGAAGTAATGTTAAGAGTATTTTGGTATTAATGTATTACCTTTCATTATTGTTGGTTCCCTTCCCAATTCCAACATTTAATAAAACTTGAAACAATTTCATATTAATATCAAGTTTTATGAAAAAATAAAATAAACATAAAGTGAAAGTATGAAAGTATTACCATTTTCCTCATATGTTAAGACATTGAAGTCGAGGCCCCTCAATACAATATTGTGTTGGTGTTTGCATTTGCACTTCGACTCCGACGATTTCTAGTACTAATATATTTGAAGTATTTTGAATTCAATTCTTATAGCATTGTTGTCCAATCTTCTTTTGTAATCCATTATCTTTTATCGTTGTCCAATGTGTCATTTTTCTTCGCATCACATAACTTCATAAATGTATTTCTCATCCATTATCCGGCCTTTGCTTTGAAATACTTATAAAAATGACTTTCGTCTATAGATGTTCAGTTGCATTGAACTATTTATTATGAAATATTATAGCTTATTGAAAATGTAAATAGTATTGACGAATTTTAGCTTAAGAACCTTTATTTGACGAAATCATAATTGCTTATTTTTGTTTGAAACTTTTTTAAATGAGATTCAAGGTTTATTAAATGAACTCTTGATGATCTCTCCTAAAGCTTTCTTAAAATCTCGATCGTACATAAATAAAAAAATAATTTAAATGACACACTAAATGAATTTTGCACTAATTCTTGAAATATATATTGTGTATTATATTTATTAACTTTGAATTCATACGTTAGTAAACAACTTACTCCATGTCATTTGGCCGAAGGTGGATTTGAGTAGATTTGCCTGCGGTGGTCTGGGTGTTTTATCTGAATTATATTATAATGGTTGAAGTGTTTAATTACTAGATTATGCAATCGTTGCGGAGATGATAATCTTTTTCTATTTTGAATATAATTAGTCATTCTCATTTCATTATCATTTAGGAGTGTTGATACTATATCTAGATAATATTTAATATAATATTAGTTTATATGTATATAAAAAATATGTTTAGGAAAAAAATAGTGTATAGAATAATTGCTTTGTTCACTTAACATTTTTCAATGGAACAATTATGTATAAATATTATTAAAAAAATATAAATATACACACGTTAATATAAAATATATGTACTCATAGAAAGTCAATAATTCAACAAAAAATATTATTTTTTATATTATCAACACAATTTCTCATTCCACATATAAAAAATCCATTCATCTAAAAACGCTGAGTTAACAAACTGAATATCTATATTTTGATGGGATTTAATGTAATTTTAGCCTATAAATTCCAAATAGTTTGTGCATGTCCAATAGAAGCATATACATTTCGTTATTCTATAAAATTTCAATTCTACTATATTAATATTAAAATAACATTATATTATAAGAAGTAATAATAATATTGGTTGTATATAGATTTAAACGATGTAGGAGTACACTTAGTTCATGTTCAAGGATATGCAAAAATTATTTTTTTATTTGCTAAATGAAAAGGAAAAGCTAACAAGTAGTAGGTAGTAATAACAACAAAAAAGATCAAAACATGCATCAGTTATCAAATGTGATCTATTTGTACTAAGAGAGTGATTATAGTTCGAAGAATATAATGTACAAGATATTGTGTTATTATGTCTAAGCATTTTGGCAAATATAAAGGTTCTCTATCAATGTAACGGCTTAATCTTCTAAGTTTTTAAGAGATATACAAGAAACATATTTGCAGAGGAGCAACTTAAAAATATATATACTCATTCATTCACTTAATTTGTCAACTATTTCTATTTTAGTCCGTCCAATATAATTTGTCTTTTTTTTTTTGAAATATAATTATACACTTTAATCACACTTTAAATTTTATATTTTATATATATTTTTTTATTTTAATTAAACTATTTAGTTATCTAAATCTTAGTCTATAATTATTTTTATTAATTCATAACTATTTTCATTAATACACTTTTTAATTACTTACTAATTACACACTACATAAAACTCTGTATCTAAGCTAAAGGGTACAAATTAGTCGGGACGGAGGGAATATTTTTATAATATAAAATAAAAAAATAATAACAATAGCAATATATATATATATATATATAGATAGATTGTTGTTTTTCTACTGCGTTTTTTTTTTCTACTCCAAACAAAATCATCAATAAGAAAAATCACAAAACAATCTATCAAAATAATCTATCAGTAAGACATCGTACTTTTCAGAAACAAGAAATCAATTAATGTGCCTGAAATTTTGCAGAATTATTTCAATGCTTCTTTCAGTACACAAGAGAACCTCTGCTACTTAATTACTTCAGTTTTTTAGTTTAACTTTTTACACATATCAAATATTATTGTATTGTGCTGAGATCTATACCAACTCCATAATAAGTCAAATTAGAAAATAATCAAGTAACAAAACGAGGATGAAGGAAATATGTGACAAAATGGGGAAAAAAAATCGATTAATAGTGAAATCGTTGGTAGTCTTTGTGTATTAAAGAAGGATACACCTAACTATCATTAGTGGAGTCATAGGAGCTCATGATTTTTATTTTATTTTATTTTTATAAAATTAGATTTTGAATTAATTATATATTGTATTTCTTTTTAATTTAAACACTCAAATAACAAATTTTACCCACAAATATATTCTTATAATTATTTTAAGACATCTCATTTAGATTTTAAAAAATACTTAATAGTATAATACATTAATTTTTCACTTTTCGTTCAAACTCTCCTTTTTTTTCTTTTATATATTTTTTTATTCAAACCACGACACAACATATAAATTTGGGGCATCAAGTTGACGATGTTTTGAATTTTCTTCATTTACACTGTAATTTCACAGGTCAACCTCATTTCTTCTTTAAATTCATATTTCTTCGTTTGGATTGTAACTTTGGGTATTAATTGAAAATTGTTAATATGAATGTTGTGATTAAAATATAAATTTTTTTTTTTTTAATAATGGGGGAATTCGCAATCGCTACCCAAGAGTACGCACGGGGTAAACCTTCGGCCGAACCTAATGCTCGACAAAAAAAATACACTAGGCGAACCATGTGTGGCAGGTGACTTGAGACGTCGGGGATTTGAACCCATGACCTAACGGTCACAAGTCCAAACCCTACACCACCATGTCATTCCTTACGAGACTTAAAATATGAATGTTTGAAACACGGGTTTGTTTCTTTTTTAAAAGAAAGTTCAACATATTTCTCTAAAAAAAAAAGTTAATATGACGGACACGTGGATTTATTTATTTATTTTTAATTTTTTTAATTTTTTTAAAAATTGGATCAAATAAAAAAAATAAAAAAATACAAATAAAATTAAAAATAAGTTTTAAAAACAATTTTAAAAAATGAAAAAATAAATAAAAAATCCATGTGTCTGCCAGATCAGCGACACCTGGCGGACATGTCACCTCCGGCGAGCCACGCGGGCATCTCCGGCGCCGGAGGACTAAAACAACGAAAATTTTTCACTTATGGGACTAATTTGCGACAGGCTCCACTTACGGGACTAAAATGATAAGGGGGTCAAAAAACAATTTACCCTTATTATTTTTATAATATATACAGTGTTCTCTATAACTCACATAATAAAAAATAAAAAAATAAAAAAAACAAACAAACACAAAACAAACCCACTTATTTGTGTATAATTGTCATAATTAAAGAGCAATTGTAATTTTTTCTTTATAGATATTATAACGATAATTTAATAAATTATGCACCCATTTAAAAAAGAAGTTGGATGTATTTGTTATTATTAATATATTTCATATATGATAATGTTATATTATACTCCCTCCGTCCATATCTATCTATTCATTTGATTTTTTTCCGAAATTTTAGAAATATTAATATTATATTAGGATATATTAGAAATAAAAATAAAAAGATTAAACTAATCTTATAATATTGTATGATATAAAAGTAATGATATTTGTGTAATATATTACAAATTGGAAGGATATTTGTAATGTTAGTAGATAATACAATTACTAAAAATAAAATTGATACTTTATTATGAGACGGACCAAATTGAAAAAATAAATATATTGTTAAAGAATTGAGGGAATATAGTTTTTTAACGGACATATGATCAATTTTACTGTTATTATGAGTATTATAATTGTTATTAGTGTGGTTTTTAATCATGTGCAATAAAAAATATTTACTCATTGAGACATTTTTTATTATAATTATTTTTTTATTGTTGAAGACATTATATTTGAAAATTTCTTTTGATTAGTAGAATTACTGTTGTTGTTGTCCGTCAACATAGGAATTTATCCTGAATCATGTAAATTATGTATTTTTTTTAACTTTTCTTATTATATTTATATTAACATTTTATTATATTTTGTTGGTTAATTTCACAAATATTTAACAGTCTTGTAATGTTTATGTATATAAATATCTATGTTAAAAGTCCATGTATTAAATTAGATAGAATAATATATTATAATATTATATGTCACAAAATATTATACATATCAAATTTATTTTATTTATATTATAAAATCTGATAAATATTTATTAGATAACATGTATTTCTTTCTATAATTATTAATGACTATTATATCATTTGATAAAAATAACTATCACAAATTAAATTATTCTTTAATTATAAATATTTTATTTTTCTAATAAATCTATTAATTAATTATATTTATCATAATATATATAATTTCATATTTTGGCACATTATGTATTTATAACTATATATTACTCCCTCCGTCCCGTATATTTTGGATGTGTTACTGTAGATACGAGAATTTAGGTAAAATATAATTAATAGATAATTAAGAAGTGTATTAATAGAAATAATTATTATTTAGTAAAAATAATTATAGATTAAGATTAAAATTAAAATAAGTAAATAATTTAATTAAGATTAAAATAATTATAAAATTTAAAACTTAAAATGTGATTAAAATGGATAATCATATTTCCAAAAAATAAATGACAAGTTACGTGAGACTGACGAAAATAGAAAATAGGGACAAGTTATGTGGGACGGATGGAGTAACAAATTAATAATATTGGTAGTTATGGCTCATTAAGAATAATTTTATCACACAAAATTTTTGCCACAATATTTGACATGAATAAATATATATGTATAATTATTTATATGTGTGACTAAAAGTAAAAAAAATTTGCCATTAAAATATTTTGCAGCTAATGTGCTTCAATATTTTTCATGGTAAACATGTATTGCTATTTTTGCTATGGAAATAGTTATGAATAAATATTTTTTAATTATATTATGAACAAATCTTGTAGCAATTTTGTTATATAATTATTTTATAGCAAATTTTCATGGCTATATGAATGTTTTCTTAGAGTAAAACATGAAAATAAAATACGCAAATTGAAGTGGATGGGACAGTCCAAGTTAGTGCCATCCAATGATAACATAAAAATTATGTCTAGCTAAAAACGTTAAATAAATATGATTATTGAAAAGCAACTTAAATTTTCTAACTCTTTTTATATTGTTTTATTTAGTGTCTTTTTTAAACCATCGTCCATATTTGATTTGATATATATATTTTTTTACTTAGAAAAACTCAATGGAGAATTTAAAAAACTATTAAAGTAGGCATCGGGTGCCTAGGTGCGGTCATATTGAACTTTATGCACAAAAGCCATAGAAAGCATTCTTCGTAGCTGTGATCATACCACTCTAAGGGCAAATTTGTTATTTTATCTTTTAATTAAGAAAATTTTAAAATTTATTTTCACTCTTTTGACACTATATTTAAAAAAAAAAAACATCACATCAAATACATTTTTCATTTCACAAAACATCAAATTAAATACTAATTTTTTACTTTTTATTTTTTATTTTTCAAATTTTCAAAATCCCAAAAACCTCCAAACCAACCCATGCACTCTGACCAGTCACCTTTCAGCTCGACTCCGAACTCCATGCACTCTGACCAATCACCTTTCAGCTCGACTCCGAACGTCGATGACATTTTATAAAATAAGAACTGTAATGCTGTTATATACCTCTCAAATATAGTTTTATATTTAAAATATTATACCAATATATTTTTTATATCAAATTAAATAATAATTTTAATTTAAAATTAAAATCAAAATCCAAACCCAAAGCCAACCTAAATTGAAACCTTATTTATGTGTGTGCGTGTGCGTTGCGCAGAAAGAGCCTTCCTTGTCGGAAATGAAACAAATTAAGGAATAAGTACCCCAAAAATTCTATGGCATCCCACAAAGTTCTGTCGTAAAAACAGGAAAACCACAAATTAAAGACAAAGATTTTGGGCATATCCTACTGTATAAATTGGGTCTGAAGCACCTCTCACAAATCGCAGATACAATAATTACAATCTTCAATAAACACATTGAAGGCAATAACAGCGAATCACTGGTTTGCTCAAACTTCCAGTGATTTCGCTACACAGAAGAATTAGAATCGGCAGAAAGAAATAAGGATCAATTAATCCCAAAAATGGGGATCACCACTACCAATCAACCTCATTACTTAATAGCATTCCTCCTCTTCTTCTCTGTTCTCCTCTCCGCCACCGCAGACGTCGTCACCAATGCCACTCTGGAGGAGAAGTATCGGAAAGCCGCCGCCGAAGCCTACGAGGATTCCATGAAAGCCTACAACCCTAATCCCCTAGGCGTCGCGGACGACTTCACCAGTCTCGTCAAAAAGTCAGGATTAATTGTTTTTAATCCCGGGCCCCACCCCTCCTCCCACAAAACAGGACAAAGCAAAGATTTTATTGTATTATCAAATACTAACTTTTTACTTTTTTTTCAATCATTAAACAGATCTTTGAAGCATAAGAACTCCTCGAGGAGGCATCTAGAAGAAGATGAAGACGACGGGTGCATGGCGACGAACCCGATCGACCGTTGCTGGCGGTGTGACCCGAACTGGGCCAAGAACCGTAAACGGCTAGCGGAATGCGCCCGCGGGTTCGGGCACGAGACAACCGGCGGGAAAGAAGGTCGGTACTACGTGGTATCTGACCCGTCGGATGACGTCATGGACAACCCTTTGCCGGGTACTCTAAGGCATGCCGTGATCCAAACCGAGCCGCTCTGGATCATCTTCGAGCACAGCATGGTCATCCAGCTGAAGCAGGAGCTGATGATGACGAGCGACAAGACCATCGACGGCCGCGGCAAGCAAGTCCACATCGCCTACGGCGCCGGAATCACGATCCAGTTCGTCCACAACGTCATCATCCACAACATATGGATCCACAACATAATCCCCAAGTCGGGCGGGATGATCCGCGACGCATTGGCCCATATCGGCCTGCGCACCAGGAGCGACGGCGACGCCATCTCCGTCTACGGCTCCAGCCGTGTTTGGATCGACCACGTGTCGCTCTCCAAGGGCACCGACGGCCTCATCGACGTCATCGAGGGCTCCACCGCCGTCACCATCTCCAATTGCAAGTTCAACAACCATAACGACGTCATGCTTTTGGGGGCCCACGACGACAGCGAGAAGGACTCGATCATGCAAGTCACCGTCGCGTTTAATAGGTTCGGCAAAGGGCTTATCCAGAGGATGCCGAGGGTACGGTGGGGATTCGCCCACGTCGTCAATAATGATTACTCCCACTGGGAACTCTACGCCATCGGCGGTAGCTCTCACCCCACCATTATCAGCCAGGGCAATCGATTTAGGGCATCCAATAACCCTTACACCAAGCAGGTAATTAATTATTTAATTAATATTTTAAACATTGAATTCAATTAATTAATTAATTGAATAATATGAATGAAGGTGACGAAGAGGGACTACGCGTCGGAGAGCGAGTGGAGGAACTGGCAATGGAGGTCGGAAGGGGACATGTTCAAGAACGGAGCTTACTTCCTGGAGTCAGGGCCGCCGCTGGTGCACGAGAACAGTCAGTTGACGGCGGAGAATATGGTGAAGTTCAAGCCTGGTTCGTACGCCGGCAGGCTCACGAGATCCGCCGGAGCTCTGAAGTGCCGTCCGGGGAAATACTGTTAATTAATTGATTAATTGGGGAAGAAACAGATACATGCATGCATGCATACGTAAACATTAATTGATTGATTGATTAATTCTTCTCTCCTCTTTCCTTTCCTTTTGCTTGTTTCGATCGACTCTGGTTTTCTTTTCTTGTTTTTTTTTTTTTTTTTTTCCTTTTTCATGCGGCAATTATTATTATATTATGCAAAGTGTAATTAAAGGGATGGTGCAAAATAAATGTGGGAAATTAATATTCATGGATGTCGTCGTCCCAATACTATTTTTCGTTTTGTTGCTATGGCGGAAGAAGTCTAATGCTACGGTGTAGAAGTGAATTTAATTAATAGTAATGTTAAAATCAGAAGCCGTATTGCTTCTTTTTGCCTAGGGTGAGCATTAGGATGTTCGGTTCGAAACCGATCCGAAAATTTGAAATTTTTGAAAAAATCAATTCGAATCGAACCGAACCGAAATAATCGAAATTCGAAATCCCAAAATTCGTAATCCGAACTAAAAAATTCGAATTAAACCGAAAAATCCGAAATTCTAAATATTTTTATTATTATTTTTTTAATTTTTAAATTTCTTTTATATTTTATTGTTATTTTATAATATTAAATATACATAATATATAAATATTAAATATATTAAAATATAATTAATAAATTTGAGTTTTTTTATATTAAATATAATATTTTTTAATAAAATATTAAATATGTATAATACAAAATATATTAAAATATTATATTTCGGATTGGTTCGGATTTAAGTATACCGATTCGATCCGAAAATCCAAAATTTGTTAAAAATTCAATCCGATTCAATTTGAAAATCCGAAAAATTCGAACCAAATTTTAAATTTCGATTTAATTCGAATTAGATTTTCGGATTTCGAATATTTTGCTCATCCCTATTTTTGCCAACATCTTTCTTCCCGTGTTTAATTTATGACTTGTCTATATTGAAAATATATTGTCGCTCAGTGCTTTAATAAATTATTTATTTTTTTATTTTAGATATCATAATAAAATATTCATTTTTTTTAAAATTTTATATATATAATAGTTATATTATCTGTCTACTTAACATTAAATGAACCATAATAAAATATTTATTTATTTATTATTATTTTTTTATAATAGTTGTATTATCTATCTACTTTACATTAAAAATACTTTTACAATTTACAATATATTACTCTCTCTCTGTTATCATATTTAGTTCGTTTAAGCACGACACATAAATTAAGAAAAATAAATATTTTATTAAAAAATGAAAAAATTTAAAAAAAGTAGTTGGGAGTATTTTTAAAATTTAGTTAGTAATAATATAAAATGAAAAAAAAGTAATAACGTTAGTGATATTTGTAATAAATAAGTGTTGAATTATAGTAATAATTAAATATAGATTCTTTTATTTTTCTAAATATAGCGATGAGATAAATTTAACGGACGGACGAAAAAGGAAGGTGAGAATAAATTTGGCAGACGAAGAAAATATATAAATACCATTACCTTTATATCATACGATACTAATAAAATTATTTTTGGCATTTTTCTGTTAATTTGTCCTACATATCAATATTATCAATATTAAAAAATTTACGTAAAAAATCCGAATACTTATTTAAGAGACAAAAGGAATATATTTATATATATATGTATAACGTGTCCGAAAGCTAACACGTCCGACCCGTAGACCACACCCGCACTGAGGTCCAGACCACCCGTCCCTTGTCCGCAACACGCCCGGGATTATACCATACAATATGAAAGAATCATGTAGAACACGTATCTGCACCAAGACATATGCCGTCAATCAGTCGTACATAACAGAGACTCGCACACATGGGACAGACTATGGCCGAAAATTTGGGGCAGGAATGTCAACCATGACATATATATATATATATATATATAGTAGAGTTCTTATAGTGCACGCTGAGCTGCTCTTATACAAATTTGTATATAAGAGTATTATATTTTTTTGGAGTGGGAAAATAAGTGAGTAAATACTACTACCTCTGTCCGGCTCTAAGAGTCTCATTTACTTGTTGCGTGCTGATTTTCTAATATTAATTATTATTTCAAAACATAGTCCAAATTAAAAAAAAAAATTACAAAAATACTTTCATTAGTATCTTATAATAGTAATAGAAGGACATTTGTACAAAAAATTATACAAATCCAAATATATTATTAATATTAAGTACAATGACGCTAAAGGTAAATGTGACCTTTAGAGGCGGACAGAGAGAAAATAAATTAATTCTAAAATGTATATATATACTTAATACAATAGTATTTGGATGGGAGGAAAAATCAACACCATGTTAGATTTTTCAAAACCAGTACCGATAAAAGATATGTTGTAATTTATGTTTATAGCGTATATTGTATATGAATAAATCATATGCTAAAATTAATTGTTATATGTGATATGTGAAATTATATCATATGATGTTAGTTTATATGGTGATTTATATTAAATTAATATATATATAATGTATTTTTTTTATAGTAATATCATGTGATGTTTATTAGCACACGATGTGTTGTTAGCACAGTTAAAATTCAACATAGTAACCATGCATATTTCTAAATGTATTTCTCATTTCGTCCCATATTAAGGGTACCATGAACTTTTTGCGTGTTGATATTTGAATATTAATTATTATATAATACATACTCCAAATTAAGAGAAAAGAACAAAAATACCTCTATTAGTTTCTTATAATACAAATACAATGACATTTGTGGAGTAAATTATACAAATATAATGATATTTTTTATGTTAAGTACAATGACACAAAAAAATACCGTCATTCTTATGTGACAGAGGTAATAGTATTTTTCTTTTCACTATCTGAATTGTCTAAGTTTATAATAATATAATAATGGAAATCAAAAGAAACAAGAGCAAAAAATAATTACCTCAATAATAAGTGATCAAAACCTAACAAGTGACATAAAAATAGGTCTAAATCAAGATAAGATATTTGTTTGTTTTATAGTTCAAAAAAAAAAGATAAAATTTGTCAAATACAACATTTCAATAGTTGATATTTGATGAAATAAAGAAGAAGATGGTTAAAGAATAGAACAACTGTTTTCTCTTCGGTTTTCATTGAAGTTATGAAATAGACATATTTCTAATTGCATGAAAATCAGTCCTATAGGATCTAATATGATAGAAATTATAAGAAGTGGTCCCATGAAAATAATGTACCATCTGTGCACGGATGAAATCTAATAACAAATTTTGTTAATTTGGAATAATCAAGAATACGGGATTGGGCTTCTCATGGATTGGGTTCCTCTATATTGGCTTCTCTCAACATTCGCCCATCAAGGTGAATTTTGGTAGTATATCCCAAGTTCAACTTGCAACAGACGCGACGAAGATGGGTAGTTGACTGTCCCTTCGTCAACACATCAACCAATTACTTTTCAGATGAGACAAACTGAAGAGTGATAACACCTTCTGCAAAATGATGGCAAATGAAGTGGCAATCCACCATATGAATTGTGGATTGATTGTTGCAGAAAATTGGTATGTAAGAGGTGACGGGAATTTACAGCTTATGTATCAAGTATGTCATCCACAGTACCTCAGAAACTGTGGCAGTCAATGCTCTGTACTCTACTTCAGCAGAAGATTTAGCCAAAATTGTTTGTTCTTGATTTTCCACGATATAAAACATGATCCAAGAAATAGGCAATAACCCATAAGAGATTTCCGAGAGTTCGATCATGACCCATAGTCTGCATCTGAAAATTCCCTAAGTTTGAGCTCCTTACCAACTGGAAAGAGGAGATGTAAGTTCATGGTTCCCTTTAAATGTCTTAGGATCCGTTGTACAGCCTTCTAGTGTTCAATAGTTGGATTGGCCATGAATTAGCTCAGCTATTGAACATAGTAGCACGTGCCTGGTCTTGTCATGGTGAGATATAGGAGTCTTACCGCAATGTGTTTATAGTTTCCAGGATTTGAGGTGACTTGTCTTCTATTTTGCTGAAGTTTCCAGTTTGTGACAAATAGAGTGTCGCAGGGTTAGCATCTTGCATTCTAGTCTCCAAAAGAATATCTTGAATCAACCTATGTTGGGAGACAGCCAAAGCAACAGATCTTTCAATCTGGATTCCAAGAAATCAGTCAGCTTGGTTCAGATCTTTGATGGTGAATGTTTGATCCAAATACTTTTTAACTCTTGTGATGGTTTGGGAATTAGTTCATGTGATAAAAATGTCATCAACATATACCAATAACATAATAATGTCAGTGTCTTTATTAAGGATGGATAGGTAGTGGTCGTGAGTGGATTGTTTGAAACCATACTCCAACACCTTGGTGGTGAACTGTTTGTACCATAGGCCTACTTAAGCCAATAAAGAGACTTCTTCAACTTGCAAAAATGGACTGGAGGAACATTATAGCCTTGAGGTGAAACCATGTATATCTCCTTATCCAAAGATCCATGCAAGAATGCATTATTAATTTGAACTATGACAACTTTAGCAACAAGAGAAAATGAATCAGTGAAGTCTTGTCCAGGAATTTGAAGGTATCATGTGGACACAAGATGAGCTTTGTACATCTGAATGCTTCCATCACCATTCATTTTAATTTGGTAAATTCATTTGCATGACGTTGGACGAGCTCCATTTACCAAGACAATGATGATCTCTCATGTTTCTTTCTTTTCCAAGCATTCAACTCTTCTTGTATGGAATCTTTCCATTCTTTTACATGTTGAGCTTGAATGTAAGAAGTCGGTTTCTGATCATGATCAGATAATGTAGCATGCCACACATGTAGGTATGCTGACCTATTTTTTGCTATGGAATTAGTGGCAGGACATATGTAGTCATTAAGCCAAGCCGGTGGTTTCCCTTGTTTAGGTGGTAGTTCAGTTGGCAAGGTGTTAAGAAGGATAGAAGAATGGTAGGAAGGCTCATTGGATTTAGATCCAGTATCACCAAAGTGATGACTATGAGATGACTCTTCTTTTAGCAGTGTAATGGTATTACTTTGAGGAGTGGTGTTTGTTGTGCTGTAAGGGGTGGTGTGCGGTGTTAATATGGGATCAATGGTGATAAGAATAGGATCATAAGGACTAGGACAAGCAAGAATATTGGACAGGGGTGGTGATTGAGAATTAACAACATAATAGGAAAATTCATGCTTATAAAAGATTACATCATAGACAACAATTCATTCCTGGTTCTCTATATCAAAGAGCTTAAAGTCTTTTTGGCTGACCGGATAATAAAGAAAAATAAACTTGAGGGCTTTAGTGTCAAGTTTGGTTTTATCAAGTGTGATGTTGGTTGCATAAAAGAGACACCTAAACACCTTAAGGTGATCATAGATTGATTGGATTTGATAGAGTTTTTGTAGGGAATGACCCCGTCAAGAACTGAGGTAGGGGTTCTGTTAAGTAGCTATAAGGCATGGAGAAGATCATATCCCTAAAATTTATTGGGCAAGGAAGCATAAAAGGGTAGAATTTGGTCACTTGCAACAAGTGCTTGTACTTGATCTCCACTCATCCATTTTGTTAGGGAGAATATGGACATGAGTGCTCATGGATGATGCCATATTTATTAAACAGGGCTCTACAATTTTGGTTAAGGAATTATGTTCCATGATCAGTTCTTACCTTATTTATTTGGGAATTGAACTGATTTTGGACTAGAACAAGGAAAGTTTATATTATTTGATGGATGTTTTGTTTATTAGGCAAAAGATAGGTCCATATGCCTAAAGAATAATCATCAACAATTGTTAAAGGAATAATGACATCTATTTAAAGTGAGAGACTTAGGTGGTTCGTAGCATATAAATACGCGAGAGCTTTGTTGACCTGCTTAGTTGTGAGCCGAATTTAATCCCAATTAAAGAGATGAATCAGAGGGATAGCGTCACTAGTGAAACGTTAGAAGAATAATTCATTGGACATAAGTGTTTGCCTATCGGGTCATAAAAATGTTCAATGACAATGGCTTTTCTAACAAATAATGTTCTTTGTCGGATGTCGCTGAAGCTTTGTTGTAAATCCCCTAAGGTCAAGTACTAACCGAGTCAAAAGTCAAGTTTAAGCGAAAAAGTATGATCACGTTCGTTCCACCGAACCGTCCCGCAATTATACATATATTATCCGCTATCACACCATTGTCATCCCGCTCATTTCATCCATATAAATATAGCCATTGAGGAACGCAAAAGTCACACACAAATGTCTCATTCTATTATCTTCGAGATACGTATATTTTATTGTTTTTTAGTTCAATTTAATTTCCACGTATTTATCTTTTCAGCCCTTTCGATTGCATTAACTCATTGCATTTTTTTAATTAAATATAAGATATTTGCATATTCTCTGAGTTCGACCTGGACACTCACCGGTTAAAGAATTTTTTTTATTTATTTTTGACAAAGTTTTTGGAGTTACTACATGAACACGCACAATATTATTTTTATTTTATAGATATATCATTTTTTTGTATCTTAAAGATATTTTTAAATCTCCCAAAACTCATGATTTACCTTTTCATGAGTTTTGAGTGAGCTTTACATGAACACTCTTAGAAGGTGGATCAATGGTTAGTAATTGTTGCTAAAGTTCTTGAAGCTTGGTAGTATAAGCAGCAATGGAATCATCACTTTACTTTAGAAATGTAAGTGATGAATTGAGTTGATGGAAAATTGAGCCATTTGATTGCTCATACTTTTCTTTAATGTTCTTCCAAAGTTCTTTGGCTGCGGAGACAAAGATAATACGCCTTCAAGTTATAGAATCATAGAGTTGATCAACCAAGTTTTGATCAATGCATCTACATTTAGCCATGCTTTATACCCTGGACTGTCCTCCCCTAGTTTGGATAACTTTCCAGTAAGGAACTCATTTTTTCCTTTGGTAATGAGTGCATTCCACACTCTACAAGACCAGGTGAAGTAATTATTTCCGTTAAGAGGGACTGAGGATAGACATAGATTTGGTTGATTTCCATTAGTTAACAACAAAGCTTTGGGCAAGTAAGCTTACTGTGTGGAGACAATTTCAATTCCAAATGAAGCTGTTGCTTCAGCGGTACGAACTGTTTCAACAATTATTGCTTGGTTAAAGGATTTCATTTGAGGTAAAATATGAGACATGATAAATCTCTAAAATCACATAATCTGCTCTGATACCATATGAAATCAAGAAGAATACGATTAAAGAACATAACAAAATAGGAGCACTCTTTTCTCTTCGGTTTTCATTGAAAATATGAAAATGACATATTTTTAATTGTATAAAAATAAGTCCTATAGGATACAGAAATTTAGAAAAGTGATTCCATGTGTACTAATTGTGCACGGATGAAATCTAATAATAAATTCTTTTAAATTAGAATAATAAAAGAATATGAGATTCGACTTCTTATAGATTGGATTCCTCTGTATAAGCTTCTTCTCTATACAACTTTTGAATAATTGATATTGAATAGTCCAATAAACCCAATTTAATTATGTTACATAAGAACATTTTATTTTATTTCTTTGTATAATGTTTATGCTGCAAAAATAAATAGTACAATAGACTTTTGAGCACACATACAACAAAAGTTAACAATTATTTTTATATTAATTCAAATTTAATAATTTTATAAATTATATAAAAATGTAAGTTAAAATTTAAATATTTATTAAAAATATAATTTATATATGATACTTATATTTGAGAGCATCTGCTATAGTTGTTACCTCTAAACTATTATTTTATTTATCTCTTTCATTCACGTCATATTCATTTCAATATTCAAATTACTTTTTTTATCATTAGTTGTAGTTAATTATTTTCAATTAAGTACCTTTACTATTTTATAATACTTACAATAATTTATTTATTTTTATATATTTTTATTATGTAGTAATATAATAAAAATAATTTATCTATTTATACATAGATTTATATTTATTGTCTAATAATATTTTTATATAATATTATAACTTAATTTTTAAATAATAATCTATGTAAATTTTAATAATTTAAATCATATAATTTATTATTTTAAAATTTGAAATAGAAAAAATTAGAGACAAAAAAATTAATTTTAAAATATGATAGATTAATGAGTTTTAAATATATTTATAGATAATTTTTATTGAATTTAAAATTTAAAATTTTAAGATTTTAAAAAAATAAAAATAATATTTAATTAATTTTTATTATTATTTTTTTTTTTGAAGGTAATCGATTTTTGAAAAAGATGAAAATTTAAAATAATTATATTTACAAAGGTAATGAGTTCTTGAAAAAAAGACAATGATTATTGTTTCTGTCTGATAACAGAAACGCGAGATAGATAGGGCAAAGCGCTTTTTGGCACTTCCGATTTACGTATCCATTCTCCTCAGAGCATTTTCAATCTCTTTCATCAGAGGTCTGTCCAAATTCCACAGCGACTTCTTTACAAAACCCTCTCAAAAACCTACTTCATATGATACTAAAGTGAAGGGAATTTGCAATGCAGAACCTGAATTTACCTCTGATCCAAAAAGTTGGGGGATTCACAGTTGAAAACCTCAGTAACGTTTCCTGTTTTAGATTTGCAATACCAACCGCAGTTCGTTTCAGCAAAAGAAAATTTGCGATTTCTAGCTCCATATGGGATGGGAAGTCCTCCAGGAACATCAATGTTAGTGTTAGGTCCCAATACTTGACTCCTGAAGAGCAGCAGTATCAGCAGCAGAAGTTTCCTTCACATAGCTCTAATTTTCACTCCCAGCCAGGTGGTTTCTATATGACTTATTTATTTAGTTATGTGCATATCTTATTGGGTGTAAAGTTCGAATCTACATATTCATGTTCCACAAATGTTGGAGATATAGAACCTGCTTGAGGTGAATTTATGATATGTAATTTATGCTGCACAGCATAAATTAAATGGAATAGAAAGGTTTTGAAAGGTGTAGAAATTCGTGTAGAATGCCAGACGTTCATATTTCTTGCATTGGGAGTTTCGGAAGGTTTTTATGTTTTGATTATTTCCTGATGTCTGTAAATGCTTAAAGTTCGGTAGCCTTCAGACAAATAGTTTGATTATGATTTTGAAGTAGAGAAATAATGCTTATTAAGTTCAATTCAATGCTAAATAGGTTAGATTTAACATATCACGCAGCCATTATTGTGAAAGTGCAATTTGAGTGTGCTTTTTATAATGTCTAATTTCATCTTTGGTCAAGAAAACAGGAATCACATTCTTCTTCAATATTTGGTGAAATATAGATTTTATGTAATATTGTAATGGATTAATTTTTCATAGAGAAAATGCCACCAAGGGTTTATGTTGGATACACGATCTACAAAGGGAAAGCTGCGCTGACAGTGGAGCCACGGCCCCCAGAGTTCACTCCCTTGGATGTATTTATGAACAATCCTTACTGCTTGCAGTTAATCCCATAATGTTTCTGTTATTCGATTGTTGATATCCTTAGTAGATTTATGTGAACTCGTTGGCCATATATTGTCTAGTCTGGGGCATTTAAGCTGTCAAAGGAGGGGTTTGTAATGCTCCAATTTGCACCAGCATCCGGTGTTCGCCAGTATGATTGGAGTAGAAAGCAGGTAATTAATTACCTTTCTATTTTCTGTTTGCTTACCTAAGCATTATGTTGATGCAATTGAGCATGTTACTGGATTTTCTCGAGAAAATCAGAAGTTTGAAGAAGGCCCTATTATCCTACCACAAATAAATAACATGAGCCAACTTAAGTTGTTGGTCTTTATTTCAAGTTTCTGAACCTTGTAATATTATATGAAATTTTGTTTACTTTGCATGATACATCAAATAAGTATTACTAGTTTCTACATGGTATGAGAGTAGGAGTATTCCCGTGTTTGAATTTTCACTGTACTCATTGATGAAAAAGAGGTTTGCATGCTTAGGCTTTGTGAAGGAACCTGCCTGCACGTGATTGTGGTGTATTGAGAGAATTAGAAGTATGATATGTGGCTAATGTCTCACATCCAATAATTAAGTAAGTGTAATCTCGAGTAGTAGCTTGAATTTTAGGTTTTAGAGACTAATTATAGTTAAACACTAAATAATCATCTTTACAAAATTTCTATGGATTTGTTGAGATTTATTTTAGTCATGGCATTCGATTTGTTGATCCGTACTTTGGACAACCCAAATATTAGAAGTTGGGACACTTTTGCTTAAATTTGTTATATATGAAAGATATGCAATTTGGTGACACTCTTGTGGCCAAAGGGAGTGAGTTTGTTAAGGGGAAATGGAAAGGTTAGCGATTGGAGCGGAATATCTGCTTCTTAGTGCTTAGACTGCTACAATCTTGCTAATGAAATAAATAGTTACCTTGAAAGTACCCTCTTTTATTTTTACTTTCTAAAGGAAAAAGAGGAAAATAGTCTAGTTCTCTGTGAATGTATTTTGCTGACAAGCTAAGAATATGATATATATTATGCCATTGGTTTTCTTAATAAAAACTGAGTTGATTGAAGTGAACACTTTCTCCTTAGGAGGATGGCTGCATACCAGGGGGAAAGAAGGATTACACTACGGCTAGTATGTTTAGCTCTAGGCATCCTAGGCTCTCAATCCATACCTCTAGCTTACCTTGGGAACTAGTTGATGATAACCTAGTCAATGCTGTAAGAGATACTTCTATTAGATAATGATACATCTATTCAAGTTTATTGAAGAGAAAGGAGTAGGGATTTATTAGCTCATACTCGTACAGCACGTGTGATGTGAACTTGGGGTTCTCTGGATTATGAACAAGACCTGGGTGAGCTTCTAGCTGATTATCTGGTGATCACTACCTAGAATGAGCCATATATCGTATTGGTAGTTTTTGTCAACAGTGATTTCTACACAATAGAAAAAGGTGGATGGCCCGCCAGTTTGGTAGAGTCGTGATTTTCTTTCATTGAAATTAATAGTCTCGAGATCCATGGTGATCACTGATAGTCTGTGCAAATGGCAAGCTAATCTTCTCCTGATTAGTTTTATGCATTCTGTCCCCTAATGCACCAAACATGGGTGCTTGGGTTGAGGCTATCCCATGGTGATTATTGAGAACTTCAACTCGATACCTTCGTATCTTCATATAGTATCGTGTAATCTTGAAACAAAATACAACAATACAATGGCTGATGTGAGTATATTAGAGAAATGGTTCTCTGCTCTTAACTAATTATCTGTTCAATTCTCTAAAAGTCTTCTTTGCTTTTAATTAGTTATCTGTTACATTATTTGAAATATTAATTTAACTCGGTGCAATTGTGTATCTAATTCTGCTTTGTCTGCCATTTCCCCCTCTCATAACAACTTGCATTTCCACTTTTCAGGTGTTCTCTCTATCAGTGACTGAAATAGGAAATGTACTCAGCCTTGGAGCAAGAGATTCTTTTGAGTTCTTTCATGACCCTTACAAAGGAAAGAGGCAAGAACTTCTTATGTGTAGAGACAAATATTCTGTCTGATTTAACTTTTTCGACGTCTGAACTCTAAAACATAAAGATCAAATAATCATGCATAGTAACCTCACTCTAAACTTCTCTGCATTTGATCATTCTTCTCAAGTATATTTCTTGCTAGGGGGTCGTCATTCGACTGTTTGATCTTGCTAGTTACCATACATATGCCTATATCTGTGAAGCCTTCATTCGTTGCTTTAATTTTGCAGCGATGAAGGTAAGGTGAGGAAAGTATTGAAAGTCGAACCCCTGCCGGACGGCCATGGCCACTTCTTCAACCTCAGTAGATCCCTAAACATGCCCTTGAAATTTTTGTCAACATTTTTCTATAATGTGCTTAGTATCTCGAATCCACGATTTTGCTGATCCATTTATTTGTAGGTGTCCAGAACAAGCTAATCAACTCGGACGAGAGCATTTACATCCCGATCACTAAAGCAGAATTCGCTGTTTTAGTATCATCATTTAATGTAAGATGATCCTTTTGTGCTTGTCCGATTATTGTTTCGGCTATTTCTTGGCATTGCTCAAACTTGTTGTCCTGTCCTGTCCTGTCCCTTGCAGTTCATTGTGCCGTACCTCTTAGGCTGGCATACATTTGCAAGCTCCACAAAACCGGAGGATCCGACCCGGACGAACAGATCGGGTGCAGAGTTAGAATGGAACAGATGAGAGAGTAAATGCTGATTATGGATGATGACTCTAAAAAAAAAAACTTCTGTTACTGCTTGTTTAAGTTCTTGTTTTGTTTTGTGATATTCGTGTTCTAATTTATTAGTCGTTGTTGATGTTGCTTGCGAATGTCATTTTTCTGGCTTTCTGGCTTTAATGGATGCACTTCACAGTGTTGATAATTGCACGTGGCAAATTTGTAAATTAGTAGGAATAAGTTTTCCCCATTTCCTTACTTAGATAGGATAAAAGCGTGTACGAGGTTGTAACACGTGTACTTTTCTGTACACGTGGCGGGCTCGCGTTTACCCACGGTAAGTAAGCAAAAAGACTGATCCATTTTCTTCAGGGCTCACACCTTCGTCCGGAAACGACCTAGGAGAGAAAACCCTCTTCTGATTTGCCTTCCACTCTTCGACGACTGAGGTAATGAAATTCTGTCTGTTCTTGTTTTCTTTCAATTCAATCATCGTAATATCCGAACCAGCTCGTGCAAGATTGATCGATCGAAATTGTTTCGCAGAAATGGCTAGCATACAAGGAGGACCCAGGACGAGTGACGATTTACAGAGCAACGATGCCTATTTCCAGATGGTGCAAAGCAAGAAGAAGCTACCTCGTTCATTACAGGAATCTCTGACGGGTTCCTTTGCAAGAATCCCCGTCTCGTCGTTCCCGCACGTCCCCGGCGGCAAAGGTGAAAGACCCATCCCTAATCTATGAACATTTCATAATATATATATATATATATATGTTTATGGTATTCGATCGATTGACAGTGATCGAGATTCCGGCCGACACGCTCATCGTCGACGCCGTCAAGATCCTGTCGGATTCCAACATCCTGTCCGCCCCCGTGACCAATCCTGCCTTCGCCGACGACACGGATTGGAAGAAACGGTATTTGGGAATCCTGGATTACTCTGCTATTATCCTCTGGGTGCTCGCGAATACCGAATGCGCAGCCGCCGACGTGCTTAGTCAGGAGCCCTGCAAGTCCACGACAGTAAAATTCCTGTTGAAATAAAGACAGTAGACTACTAATACGATGTCCCCATTTGATGAAACTGACGAGGTCTGGATATGTAATTTGCAGGTTATGTCGATCCTGAAAACATACCGTTGGGCGCCATTTGTTCCGGTGTCGCCGGACAGCTCGATGCTGAGCGTAATGCTACTGCTTTCCAAGTACAGGCTTAGGAACGTACCCCTGATCGAACAGGGCAACGGGTCGATTCAGAACTACATAACTCAATCTGCAGTGGTGACAGGGCTCCATCGATGCAAAGGGAGGGACTGGTTCGACTACATCTCTGCCTGTCACTTGTCGGATCTTGGCCTGCCTTTCATGTCCCCCGATCAGGTACAAATACAATTGATTTGGATGGATCATTTTTGGTTAATTGAGCATTAGTGTAAGACATTTATGTATGGTTGGATGCTGATGTTGAATGTGGATTAGGACAGCTTGTGACTGTCCAGGACAGCGATTTGATCCTGGAAGCATTTAAGCAGATGAAGGACAAACAAATCGGCGGTCTGCCTGTAATCGAGAGCGGAACGAAGAAGATTCAAAGCTCCATAAGTGTAAGAGATGTTCAGTACTTACTGTACAATACTGAGCTATCTCCCAAATTCAGGTCTGATAATGTGTGTAGCTGTTTGATTTTGAGCATAAAATGGTGGAATCTGAAATATCAATCTTCAGGGAGCTTACTGTGAAGGACTTCATAAGTAGCATTGGTTCGGACAAACTGAAAACGTGCAAGCCGGATTCGACTCTAGGCGACGTGATCGAAGCACTTGCTTCGATGGCGGTTCACAGAATTTATGTGGTTGGAGATGATGAGGTTCTTGTGGGAGTGATTACGCTGAGGGATGTGATCTCGTGCTTCATTAATGAGCCCGCGAAATTCTTCGAGAATTTCTTCGGGTTTGGCGGACAGGAGGGGCTGAATCGGTAATAATATACTTATACCAGTAGTAGTATAGATTTTAGGTTGGGGGGAGGGTGGGTGAATTGTAAGTGAGGGAGGGTCTTATTATGCAGAGGATTTGGCAGAGCAGTTGCTAATTACTATGGTTGGATCTGCCTTGTATGTAGCATATGTCTGTCTTGTCTTCCTTGGGTTGTAGTAGTGTTCATACTTCTCATGAACTCTTATCTGCAGCCAAAAATATTTATTTTGGTTCCAATATATTAAAAAAAAAAAAAAAAAGTATCGGTTCCACCGTTTAACAAAAATTGCTGAACTGGACTTAACACAGTTGATTTGGAAATTATACGATCAAACAAAAATTCCTGACTTGGAAACAACACACGACTTGGAATATGATAAGATGCACCGATTATGTATAATTATATATAATTATGTTGCTATATAGCTGTGTATAGTCACACGCTAGTGTTCAATTTTACATAATTGTGTATATATATATATATATTTTGTCTAAAATTTTAATTTTTTTAAGGTATATTTTTTAAAAATATACTCCATGTTCCTTTGGGGGTTTTGTAGTAATTAAAAAATAATAGTATTTTATTAGTGAGTAGAAGTATGTAAGATGTTTTGATATTTTTATCTTATGTAAAAAGTAATTGCATGTGTAATAGTATGTTTGTAATTTAGATAAAAGTTAAGGATATTTTTATATTCGTATTTGAATATTTTTACTAAAACAGAAAAGAAATATTTTAGAGTGGGATATACGAAAATAATTAAAAGAGTACTTTGAGTTGAAATGAAACTGAGGGAATATATATTTTGAATTTAGAAGAACTACAATTAAAATGAAAAAAATCAATAATAATCTTTATATTTACCAAAAATTATTCTTTGCATTTCAATACAATTTCAAGACGTACACTATCGCATTATTTCCATGTCTTTTTTTTCTACCGTATGAATCACATTAGGTTCATGATATTTTGATTATAAATTAATTTTTAATATAACATAAAAAAAAATAAAAAATAATTGTTTAATTGAATGTTTGTAAGTGGAAACATTTTGGTGAATAATAAAATGTTAAACAAAATTTTTCAAAAGAATATAACGCTATGAATTTTTATATTGGAACCAAAATTGATATATTTAATTATATTGAGATTATTATTGGTTTTTTTTTTCCTTTTAACTGCATCTAACTATTCTTAATTCAAAATATTATTTTTTAAAAAAATATATAACAAAAAAAATACAAAACCGTGGATAATTGTAGACGACCTAGATGTTTTCAGGTCAGCTTCTCGTCATTCCTGTTAAAGTACACATCAACAATATTCGTTAGTTTTTCAACGATGAGGTCAAAATTAATTGAAATTGTTTTTAATAAAATTAAATTAATGGATTTTATTATATTGAGAACAAAATTCATACATTTTGATTATATTGAAATTAATTATTTTTTTCCCCTTAAATATATATTTTATATTATATCAAAATTTAATTTTATCTTTTAAAATATTATATCAATATATATATTTATATAGTACGAAACAATTATTTAATTCAAAATTTTATTAGTATTACTCCCGTCCGTTTAAACAATAAGTATACATTTATTTATTTTTGGCATTGAGTAGGTAAAAATAGTATAATGACATTTTTGCTCTTATTTTTTTGGTATAAAAGTAATGATGTGATGTAAAGCAAGAGTATTTATAAAAAAAAGTGAAGTATTAATGAAATTATTACTTTGTAATTGAATGTCCAAAAATAGAAATATGTATACTTTGTAGCTAGACGGGAGTATAATTTAAACTATATGTGTTCTTTTGTTTTTAACTTTTTCTAATAAAATTATCCGATAAATATTCAAAAATTTTCAACTCCAATACTGTATACTTTGCCCTTGGGGTGTTTTGTTTGGGGGTTTGGATTTTGTATTAGAATTTGAATATTAAAATTTTTTATTTGAATAGTTGTATGATGTGATATAAACAGGTGTTGATATAATATTTTGAATATAACATTGATTTTTAATATAATATAAAAAAGAAAAAATAGGTGTTTGATTTGACATTTTTGAAATTTTTTTTTGGATAAATAGTATAATTAGGGGAAAATCCCCAAAACAAACACACCCTAAGTATTTAGAACTATTCATCAATGCAAAAAATATTTATTTATAAATAAATAAATTATTTTTTTTAAAAAAAATTTTATAACAAAATATATATTTATTCAAACTATTTACACTCCTTTTGTCCCTGATAAATTTTTTGTTTAAATTTTATAAATGTAAATTAGTATTTTATAGATATATAATATAATAAATTAATATAATATTCATTTCATCTTTGAAAAATAATATGAAAAATATAATAATAATAATAAGTAAAAATACTTTGGTATTTAATAAAAAAATTATTTTTTTAAAAAAAAATGAAAAAAATGAATTTGAATAGACTAAAATGACTAATAAGAAAATTATTTAGTGAATTAAAGAAATATTATTTATTTTTTCATTTTGATCTCCCTCATAATAAATTATTCACTTTTTATAATTTTACTATCTATTTAATATTAAAAATATTACTTATAATTTATAATATATTACATAAATATTATTATTTTATATCGTACAATATTAATAAAGTTATATCTTATCACTTTTATTTAATTTGTATTTACATATCAATATTATATTAATATTTAAAAACACTGCTATAAAAAGCAACCCATAATCATTTAAGAGATGATTATAGAGATGAAGAGACTACATTTATACAAGATTAATTCAAATATTAATATTTTATTATTATTATTTATAAACAATATATTATATTAATTTATAATAAGAGATCCGTAGAATTTGATGATTTGTATATCATTATAAATATTTAATTATTTTTACGATCGAAAGAGATAATTTCAGATTTTTATTCTTTAACACTCAAATTTCTTTAAAAACTCCAAAAATCAACAAAAGCCTATTCAAATGGAGCATAATGTACATTTCACATAACCAAAAAAAAATAAAATTAAGGTAATTTGTTGTTAATGTAATGAAGCAGAGAAACTTGTGTTTACGAAGTGCAATAAAGTGTAGTCTCTCGGACAAAATAATGTAATAAAATTCAGAAGGTCACTGATGTAGTATGTTGTTTCCTTTGTTGGTTCAATCAAATCCTTTAGGGGCAGCCACGCCGAGGGAGTTGTCGGCGGCGGCGGCGGCGGCGCCGGCGGAGGAACGGCTGAGGCAGTATTTGGCAATCTCCCTGAACTTGGGGACACTGCGAAGATCGACTTTGGTTCCATCTTTGAGGGTAATGACAATGTCGCCCCACTCGCCAATAAACCTCGGAACCACCTGAACGTCCTTGATGACGTCATACGAGAAGTCGCTTCTGTCCTGACCGGTCAGCCCTGAGATGACCGTTACCCGCAGGTTGCTGAATCTGTACCTCAAAAAGAAGGCCCTGAAGGCGGCGGCCACCGTCAACGGGAGCCACAGCAGAGTGAACCCAAGGAGGAGGTTCACCACCAGGTCGCCGTAGTGAGCGCCGCCGTCGAAGAAGATGCTTTCACCTTCGCGGGCGCCGCCGCCCTTTCTGGCGAGGGGCTTTGATGTGGAGGAGGACGCGTGGAGCTTGGTGATTGGGCGGAGGGAGGAGGAGAATTTGGGATTGGGCCTGGCGGAGAGAAGTGCGGCGGAGGAAGGGTGGGGGACGGCCGGGAACGGCGGACAGGCGGCGGAGGTGGCGGCGATGGCCATGGGAATGGAGGATGGGTGTGGCGGGCGATGGAGGAGGAGTGGTTGTGGAAGGAGGAGGTTTTAGTTGGTTGATTTTGGGTGGATAGGGCATGCCGACGTGGCAAAATCTCAGCCAATGAATCTGGATTTTCGCCGGATATTGACCGATGCTTGGAGACTCCCGGAGTTGAGCTCCATTCCTCCCCTCGTTTCAGCAAATTTTTGGGCGTCTAAAACAGACCAAATTTGGGCCTTTATGGAATATACCCTATTTGCTTGGGCCTTGAGAATTAAATACTCTCTTCTTGTTGAAAAATTACTATTTTTTTATTTTCGTTCGTTTCGTAATTAAGGTTATAATTTTTTAATTTAGTAATTTACTGCTTATTTAATATAATAAATACTCTTTCAACTTACAATATATTACACAAATACCATTATTTTTTATATTACACGATACTAATATTCAAAAAATCTACGTGCAAAACAACAAATGTCACCATTCCATATTCTATTAAAAGTTGAAAGTATTATATATCACGAAACGTACTTTGAATAATAATAATGTCATTATCGACATCAATATGTATCTAAGTAGCTACATATTTTAAATAAAACTTTTTATTTTTCATACAATGAATGTAATAAAATTGTGTTAAAATATTTTTATATTTATATATCTTTTAAATTAAGCAATTTATTTTTATATAATTATATTTAATTTATATTTATATTATTATATACTATTTATTTCAATTATTATTCTATAATTTAATAAATACGTCAATTAAATTTATTAGTTGATTCATCACAATTTATTTAATTTATATAACATCAAATACTTTTTCTTTTAGATAATATGATGATAAATAATACTCTCTCCGTCCCTTAACAATCTATCAATTTTTCTATTTTGGTCCGTCACATAACAAAGTATCCATTTAGTTTTTTAGTGTTTGTACTATTTACCTAACATTACAAATACCCTTCAAATTTATAATATATTACACAAATGTCATTACGTTTATATCATACAATACTAATAAGGATAATTTAATCTTTTTACCCTTATTTTTACTTTATTCCAATATAATACTAATATTTTTAAAACTCCGTTCAAGAAGCAAATGACTATATAGATATGAAACAAAGAGAGTAATGATTTTTATGTAATTAAGTTTATAATATTTTTTTCAATTATGCGATCATTTTATATATATTTATACATTTAATTTAAATTAATATTATTATCTACTATTTAAGTCATTATTATTCTATAATTATATTTTAAAAAAATATATATAAAAAGAAAATATAAATAAACTTATTTATATATAATTCAGAAAATATAAATAAATATATATATGTATATCCAATATTTTTATAATTTTTCTAATTCGGTGGAAAAGTTGATAAATAATAAAAAAAAAATCATAATTTGCAATATAAGAGCTTAAAACTATGACTTTTTTAATTGAGATTTTTTCAATACAACACAGTTCACAAATAAACATTTAGAGACAAATAAATAAAAGTAATATAAAATTAAAGTCTATAAAAATACGTATATGGAGAAAAAATATGTTCATATTAGAAAGCAATCACAAAATCAAACAAATCTATTAATGATAATATAATAAATACCATAGTCGACAAAAAATATTGAAAATACAAATAAAAGATTATGTAGATCTTACATTAAATAGAATTTTAAAATATAGAATTAATATTAATAAAAAATTAGTAATATCTTAATATCAATCTAAGACCACCAAATGCACATAACAAATATGCTCAGTAATATTTTTAATTTGTGGTGCAATAATCCCAAATATATAATAATTTATTGTCTTCGAATTATATGAGTAATTCTGGACGAAATTAGGGACAAAATTAAATCCCTCCTTATTTATTATAGAATTACTCACAAAATACATTTTAGTAAGTAATTTACTCACAAAATTAGTTATATAATCTATTTCTGTTAGTAATTATCGACAAAATTACTCACAAAATTACATTATGTGAGTAATTATAAAATTAATATCTCAATCTCACTTTTCACTTGGCTCATACACCATCTACGAAAAATTAATATTTTTCCGCAATTTTCTTTACTTTAAATTATTTTTGTAGTAAAATTTATCATTCAATTACCAAAATTTAATTTTGTAACTAAAAATAAATTATCAACTATATCTTATAAATTTATAGTCATTTGTAATTTAATGACAACAAACAAGAATTATTTGAACGTTAAATTTTTTTCTAAAAATATAAATTGTCAAAATTTTTTTCTAATAAGAAAATAAATTATCAATTTATTATTCTAAAAAAAACATATATTATTAACTTAATAAAATCTAAAAAATAAGTTCACAAATTATAAATACATAAATAAAAAATATTTTATAAATTTTATTTGAAGAATTTTTATTTTATACTACTTATCAATTATAATTCATACTTTTTCTTTATCTTCATTTATCACATTCAATAAAGTAAATTAATTAATATCGTAAACTTAACCAATAATCTCAAATACTCGCCAACCTCTAAAAGTTACATTTATCTTTTGTGTCATTGTACTTAACATTAAAAATATCTTTATATTTGTATAATTTTTTGTACAAATATCATTCTATTAGTATTACAAGACACTGATGAAAAAATTGGAAAAATATTTTCACTTTACTTTTTTGCAATTTTTTCTTAATTTGTACTACATTTTGATATAATAATTAATATTTAAATATCAACTCGCAAAAAGCAAATGAGACCCTTGGAGCCAGACAAAAATAGTTTGTTTTTCCGCAATTCATATATGTATATATATATATATATATTAAATTATTAGTATTATTTTTTTAATCTTATATTTTAAGTTAATTGCGTTCATAGTGAAATTCACTTTAAACCGTTGTCCACACACCAGCTCGCCACACACACAAACAATTGCGAGCACACACTCACACTCACATTGTGACAGAGATGGCGGCGGCAACGGAGAGGTTTCGACGGCTAGCTTTCGGTGGCGATGGCGGCAAGCTTTCGGCGGTTGCTATGAGAATATATTTTTAGCAATGCAGATTTTTGGTGGGAAATGATATTTTAAAGGCAATATATTTTTCTTTTTCGTGTTTATTTGTAGATTGAGCTGTAATCGTGATTTCGTGAATTAAGTTTCAAATATCTTGGTATAATCTTATTAAAAAATTTTTGTTAATTTGAGGATTCGATTTTATTACTTTATCGATGATGGAGGAACAAAAAGCAGAAGCATAAGATTTGCAGATAGCTACGAATGAATCCAGAGGAATTGAAGACTCTGGAAAAATTACCGACGTGATCGAGAAAAAATACCATTAGAAGATCCTTTCACTCAACGATGTACACCCAATGTGCTTCAACAAATTCACCATCCCCTACAGAACTAATAACGGTCACTGGTTTTGCGGCGAGCTATTGTATAGAGCCTTTAATCCATGTTAGGGTTTTGAGGTTTTAGAAATCATTGATGATGACTTTTTCTTGTTGCGTTTTCTCAAAAATTTATTGTGGATCGTGATATTAACCTTTCAGAGTTTGCTTATCTTTTTCTTGCTAGCTTAATTCATATGTGTTCATTATTAGATCAACAATTTGATGAACAAAGTGAGATTTTTGTATTTTCAAACTTAATACATATGCCCTGATGATCATGCAACTGCTAAAGAGGATAAGCGTTCTACGGCGCTACCACGACCTCGATTATGTTTACAATTTTTTTGTACTATTCATCGATTATGGAACTATGAACTATAAATATCATGTGATTCATTCGTATTTTGTTTATTTGATATTTGGCATGATTCGATTTACTTAATGGTTTGAATTTGTGTTGTCATAATATAGTTTGAGACATGTATGGATAGATCGAAGTATAAATTTTTGAGGGGGTCGGGTTACTCACGAAAATTATTTTGTCTCAAGCATCATATTAACATATGCCAAGGAAAAATTTGTAAGTAAATTACTCACGAAATTACTCATAGAATTATTCCATCGCAAATAAGGAAGTTTGCTAATTTTTACTCACAAGATTATTCACAAAATTTGTTATGTTAGTAAATTTACTTAGAGACAAAGTCCATTAGTAATTATATTTTACGCACGAACAAAATTCTATAAGTAATATGGTGAATAATTATTATCACATATTTTTCTCATGAGTAATTACCTACAAGGTATTTACTAATATAATATTCACGGACGAAATTCCGTGAGTAAACTGATTACTTACAAATTTCTCACGGATTTTTCTGTGAGTAATCTGTATTTTTTTTTAGTGATAATGTGATATTCTTAACCTATGGAGAATTTCAAAAAATAGAAAATAAAAAATAAAATTGATAAAACTGTTCTCCTGTCCGAATGACATAAAAATATTTCATTATTTTCCCTCTTCTCATCCACATTATATTTTAATATAATTATGTATTATATTTAATTTAATTTATATATTTTTTATCTAATATATAAAACTAAATAGAAAATATAAAATATTCTATAAAATTATATTTTTTTATTTTTATTTTACAAAAGAATTACTATATAATTTATTTTAGTTTTAAATACTGTATTATAAAATGTTATATTTTAGATAATAATGAAAATGATTTTTTTTTTAATAATCATAACTTTATATGTATATATAAATTTTACTTATTAATTTTTTTAAATTTATTATTAAATAATTTATCATTAAAAGTTTTTTATTAAATGAAAATATTATAATGTATACATAATATATTCTATTAAAAAAGTTATATAAAATTTGTATTAAACAAAATAATAAATTTGTTGATGTAGAAAAGAAAAATTTGAGAAAAGCACAACTCGATTCTACAGTGTAAGTAAAAATTGAATGAATTCTTAATCTGATGTAATATGACGTGGCAAAGAGAGAAGACTTGAAGAATATGATTGTAGATTTTGTTTTTTTTATGGTCTAAGTAGTCACTCAATTTTGTTAATATCTTATATTTGTAAGAGACATTTAACATCGTCCGGCTATGAAATCTCTCATTACAATTTGCAGTTTTCAATAATATATATATATTTCTATAAAATATCACATCAAAATATTATTTAAATAAAAATATAAATCAATTTTAAACCACAATTAAACAAACATAACAAATTTGTATTTAGTAAAATAGTTTGAAAAGATATATATTTTTTTTTCCTGAGTTATAGAAAATTATGTAGAAAATATCAAAATAATAAATGTGTATAATATATTTATTTTTATTTTTTGAAAAATCCAACCAATATTATTCATGTTCTCTTTGCTATATATATATATTTTTTTTCCCTTTTGTTTTTATGAATATGTGATATAATTTATCCAATTAATTATTCAAATATCTGCAGTATTTACGTCAGAAATTTAATTTCAATTAACTCTTGAAATTATATATAATGAATATGTATTATTTAATTTTTGGAACAGATCATGCATGTGGCCACTTGGAATAATGTTGTGTGCATTTTTCCACTAGAATATTATTTCTTTTTTTATTATTTTATTTTTTTTAAAAAAACCTTTAATTAATTAGTTAGAAAAGTCGTCCAGCTACATATTATATAGAGTTTGCACATGATCCCAGATTGATCCTCCTTTTAAAATCTCTTCTTTTTAATTTAATTAATGTCTGCCTGTTGCCTGTCCAAACAATATATACACAAATATCACTTCAAGATTCTTTCTTATTACTTATATGTTACATTCATTAATTAATTATTCATATTCAACTAATATTCTATCTCTGTCTAATGTCCCTTCAATTATTTATTTTTTAAATGACATAATATTTTCATCTAATTTCTGTAATTTTCAAGGCTTTTTAAAAATAAAAATAAAAGAATCGATCAATCGGATGTCTCACTTTTGTTTTAGATATTTTAGTGTGTTTTTATTCGAGAAATTTTGAATTAAAAAAAAATATTTTTAAATGAAAAGAGAATTTTGAATTGATATTTTGAGTGGGACTTAGGTATTTAATACTCATTGTCATAAAAAAAAATATTGCTTTTTTTTTTTAAAAAAAATAAATAAATAAAAAAACAATAAGGTTGTTTCATTTTTAGGAAAATATAATTTTTACTACCTCTTATCATTCTTTTATTTTTTTTTTTATTATAAAAGACAAAAAATACACTTCATATTAAAATTTATTAAAAGTAAATGAGTTTATTTTTCAATTATTAAAAGGAGTAAATTATGAACATATCCATCCTTCATATAGTTTTAACATGTAATGCAAATATTGTGTACATTTTTAACAATATTTTCAATGAATAATATAGGGTTTGGTAAGAATAGAAGTTCGAATTTTCTTGTTTATTTAAACAAGGTGGTTTCCATTATTTTTGAATTTTGAGGGGGTGGGGAGGGGTGGGGTGGGGTGGGGATTGCACACCCCTTAGAATAAGGGCACCCCTTTAGAGGAAAAACCAATCACTGACAAAGTATTCGATTGCCAAATAATATATATATACATTTTCATTTAATAGATATAGTATGATTTATTACATTACATATACTATTTACCTTTTTTCTTTTACTGATGTTTTAAATGTGTCGGTATATATATATATATATATTCATTGGCCAATTTCACTCAAAATTTATATGAAAAATTCATAGAAATTCACACTCACACACACGTATATAGATCAAATGAAATGAAAGCTAAAATTGAGCAAGAGCTGAAAAAAGGATGCAAGAGTGTAACACACTCAAACCCCATTACCAAAAGGAATTTAATATTCTATTACTAATTATTATTATTTTTATTATAAAAATATAACTATATTGATATAATATATACACATATATATATATATATTAATGGGGTATCAGTGTCAGCTGTGAGGACAAGAAAGAAGAAAACTGTAGGCAATGTCACATTCACCAGAATGACCATTTCCCAATTGTGTTTGTCCTCTTCCCTGCTTTGCTTGATTCTATCCACATTTTAAATATATATATATACATATATAAATGTTAATATTTATTTATTTATTTAAATTTTTTGGTGAAATTTTGTTATCACACCATTTTTATTTTTTATTTTTTTGCATCAGCTGGCCATGGTTGATCCATCCATTAGATTCTTCCAGATGGGATTTAACTATTTAATTATTCTTGATGTTGCAATCAAGTGAACCTGAAAGAATTAATTTGGCCTGCCTAATTTCTTGCAAGAAACTACTACTACTACTACTACCACTTCATTATTTTTGTCCTTTTCTTACATCTTCCCATTTTATAAAAATATATATGTTAGTGTATAAGTTTTATGATTACTTGTATTGTACTAAAGTAGCCAATCATTATCCTATGGTTTATCTTGGGCAGAATGTTGCCTTCCCAATTAAATAGAACATATTGGTGAGAATATACCTAATGTTTGTTACTTTTTATAACTGTATATTAAATCTCATGTGCCAAAAAGTAACCCAAAATAAAATAAACTAAAGCTTATAGAGACTCATGCAATTGATGCAGAATTTAAAATGCTACAATTAATTAACTAATTAACTTTATTGCATCATACCTCCAAGAAACTTAAGCATATAATTTAGGAGAATTTGAATAAGAATGCATACAGACAGACAGCTTTAATTAATTTGTACAACAAAAAACAGGCTAATGAATTGAACAAGGTATCGATCAAAACAACAAATAATAAATATATATATATATATATATATATATATAGTCTCACTCCCTCGAATGATCGCGTCATGCAATCATATATCATTGATGCAATGCTTGATGATGATGATGATGATATACTGATATACAATCAATTGAAGTTGTGCTGCTCCAGCCATGGCCAAAACCCTGTCTGATCCTCCATCCCCACGAACATATTGCAGAGGTTATTGTTGTCCGAATTCTCTGCTGCCCCCCTGGAAGAAGAACAAGGAAAAAGATTATGATGATGACTTTGGGTCCGTTTTGCAGATGGATCTGCTGTGGTGCTGGAAATGTCGAGCTTTATTATTTCCGATGTGTTCTCGCTCCTGTTGCTCGACGACCCTTCTGTCTCTTTGTTCAGATTTATCGACTCCGTCGGCTCCCCGTTCTTCATCGCCACAATCTGCAAATTTTACATTACACACCCAGTAATCAATGAAAAATATAATTAATTAAATAAATTAAATAATAACAGGAGCGTATGACGCCGTATCGACCTCGGCGTGGAGCTTCTGGTTATGGGCGAGGAGCGAGTCGTTGTGAGCCTTGACGGCGTCGAACTGGCGCTTGAGCAGCTCGTAGTCCTTCTCGAGCTGCTTGGTCTTCCAGCGGGCCCGCCGGTTCTGGAACCAGATCGCCACCTGGCGCGGCTGCAGCCCCAGGCTCCGAGCCAGCTGCATCTTCCGCTCCGGCTCCAGCTTGTTCCCCAGCTCGAAGTTCTTCTCCAGTGTCTTAACTTGCTCGAGGTTTAGCCGCCGCTTCTTCTCGCCGACCTGAAACCCGTCGTCCGACACCTCCTCCTCGTCTTCGCAGATAATCTCCGCCGCCGGGAACAACGATCTCTTCCCCAGCGCCGCCGCCGCCGCCGCCATCACTCCCGCAGCTGCTCCTGTATCTGCAATCAATTCATTATTGATTAATTGAAAACCTAATTTTGGGGAAAGGTAAGGGGCGATCTGATCTGATCCGATCCGATCTGATCTGTAAATTGTGAATTGTGATTACGTTACGCACCGTGGAATTCTTGAGGGGGAATGGGAGGGAGAGAATTGACGTCGTGAGGGTTGCTGCTGCTGCTGCTTTGTAGCAGGAAATTGGAGTGGAAGAAGCTGCCCATGCTTCATCAAACATGGATCACACAAACTAGCTATTATGACACTGCTATAATAGTGGTGGTGGAATGATTAAGAAGATGTGTATACGATCGATCATATATCTCATCTCATCTCATCACAGCACTGATGAATTGAACTGCGGACGCCATTGTTGGACCTTGTCCCTGCAGCATTAGCACTATTATGGAACTATTGAAAACCCTCCTGTGTATATATTAGATATGTCTAAAGACAAAGAGAGAGAATTCATTCAATATCAGGTGGGTTGGGTTGGGTCTTTCTCTTTTCTCTGAATTGATTTGATGTGTATTTTTCTTTTTGGTATTAATAAATTGAAATTTGATTAGTTGTGAGTGTTATTTTTGGGATGTGAATTTAATTTAGGGAGCTGCTGCTGTGCTGCATATACATTTTGTCTAAATACACGACAGTTGGCACTATGAAATTTGTATATATATACATAAAAGTAAAACCAACACATGTGATGTGTGTATCAAATCTTGGTTGTAGATGTTCATCTCCACTTGATAAATATATAATAAATATTTTACATATATCCAAATCCAATCAATTACCAAACCAAACCAACCCCACCGTAGAAGTGAGTGAGTGAGTGCATGTAGTAATATTCCAACATCGGATGGGATTGTTGCCTTGGAACCCCCTAACATCAAGTTTAAAGACATATTCATCCACTCTTACAACACTATTTTTCAATTACAATTTTTCAAAAATAATAATAAAAGATATAAATATTTTATACAAAAATAAAAAATTTAAAAAAAAAATTAAATATTTACTATAAAATATCAAAAAATGGAAAACTCAAATATTCAGCATAAGATAATATATATATAACAGCTATTAATGCAATGTAGAGTTTGAGGTCAGCCAAGCCGCCATGGCCCACGCCCAAATTTTCTCAAAATTTTGAATTCTATTTATTAAAAAAATGTATATAATAAATCAAAATACATGTATAATATTAAAATTTCTGTTATATCTATAATTTATTTTAGATCAATTTTCATCATACTAAAAATCCAAAAAAAAAAAAAAGAAGATAAAGAAAGTGAACAAGTGCATCTAAAATGAAAAGCTAAGAAGAAGTTTAGTTTGCAAGGTATTAGGTCCGACCGGGAGTTTAACCAATACGTGCTTTTGGATAGTAGCTCCGGATTCTCACGTCATAAAAAAAAAAAAAAATGGTTAAGAAAAAGTCACGTAAGAAAATGTGGGTGAACATATAACTATGAAATGATGGGTTTAATCCCCAACGCCGTCTAGCTTGCCACAAAGAATTCGTTTGGTGTGACTAAACCTAATTTGCAGGCTACTAACTTGAACTTTCAAAACATATTCGAAAAATAATAATTATGAGTTTTCATATAAAAAATAAAAAATAAAGAAAATCGAAGGCTGCATGCCACCCCACCCCACCCCACCCCCACCCCACCCCACCCGACTGGAAGAGTGGGGTCCAGAGAAGAGATTGCTGCCTAATTGAGGAACAAGCATCGTGCAAGATGGCAGGCCAGGTTGCTGATGAAGAAGAAGATGATCGATGCTCTCCTCCTGCACTACTCACCCCACCCCATCCCCCATCGACATATATATATATATATATATATATATATAGACACGTGGATATATATATTTGTGTGTGTAGGAGGAGAGGATATGATTCTGGTGCTTGGTGTGTAGTGTAATTTTCAAGATATATTAATTAACCCTAACCAAGCTTTGTCGTGATGCTTCCTTCTTCCATCCACCTCTGTCTGTCTCTCTGCCCATTTCCACATTCCATTACACTACTGCTCTCCCCATCATATTTCAGATCAGATCAGATCAGATGCCTATATATTATCAATTTCTCAAACATATACATATGATTTCCTCCTTCGTTAATTCATTTCTTCTTTCTCATTCCTACCTCATAATCTTAATTATTGCTTAATTGATGTACGTGTATGTAAGAATTAACGTAAGAGCGAGCTAGGGGTGATTAATTATGAGAGACCGATGTTAATTAATTACATGTCTCCATATACTACTAAGTATATACAAACAAAATTAAAGGAGTTCGTGGTGGCGTTTTTCCCATGGTGTCCTAAACTGAAACCAAACCCATTCCTTTCAATTTCAATTTGGTCTGTTTCTTTTGGTTGAGTTTGAAAAAATTAATTTAGGTTTAATATTAAAATAATGTTTGATGAAATATTTTGTGAAATGAATTTTTTTTTTTTTTTTTTCCGAAAATGTAGTAAAATTTGAAAAAATTGAGTTAAAGAAATATTAAAAATTGAGAGGAAAAAGTGTATTTATAATCTTCCTTCCTCAAATTAAATGGACTACTTATATTTGTCCAAAGTACATATTGTAATTGGGGTTTTCTTTGTCGGATAATACTCATTCCATCCGAACAAATTATGTCATTTTTCTTAGATACAAAAACTTGGAAATAATGATAATTTAATATAAAATGACACAAATAAATAATAAAGTGAAATATTATAAAAAAATTATTAAATAATTGATGAAAAATACTCTCTCCGTCTCACTTCTCATATCCACCTTTCCATTTTCATCGTCCCATTTATTTTGTCTTGTCAGTTTCCTTTTTTTAAAAAATAATTATACACTTTCATCTTATTTTTAAAAAATTTAATTTATAATATTTTTAATTTTAATTATACTCATAAGTTATTTTAATTTTAATGTATTATATGATAATTATTGTTACTAATATATTTTTAATTATTTACTAATTATACCCTCCTAAATTTTTGTATCTACGGGGAGTAATAAGTAGAAAAATAGTAACAAATAATAAAAGTAAAAATAATAAAATTACGAATAAATAAAATTATAAATTCTATATAAATTTATCGGACAATAAAAGAGAGAAATAAAATAATATAGTGGAGAGTGCAAGTCTAAGCCAAGTCATCAAGCTAATTAAAGCATATCAAATAGAGAGTGGTTCAAATTGAGAGGCTCATCTTAAATCTTTCGAGTCACTCGATCCTTCCCATAAAAAATGAAGTTGCACAATGCAATAGGTTTTGAGGGCAATTTTTTGATAGAGCCTCGTGTGTGCCTAGTGCAGTTGAGGCCGAATCGCAACCAAATTTATTCTTCTCTTCGCAACTCTTTTATTATTTTCTCTGTACATGCACACGAGTTCGTCGTTCTTCTTCATCGATTTTTCCTCTCTCCGGCCATTGAAGTCGAGTTTTCTTCACCGTCGCGCCGAGTTGATAATCTTCCACCGGAATGATGCTTTCTATTACCGAAATAGGAAAAGAACAGTGGAGACAATAGCCTTGTGAAAAGAACAATGGAGACAATAACCAGTCGATCGATTTAATCAAAATAAAATTAGTTGTTGAACTTGTTAAATTATATATTTTTATTTTGTTTTAAATCAAAATCTTATTAATTTATTTGATATTGTACATCAGTCCCCTCTCTTCCCTCCCTACTCGTTCCTTCCCTTATTCCCTTTGCGTTCCTCAAATCCGACTTCACCGTCCGACCCAGGCCCTTGCCGCCGACGCTATAGACGCCAAGTAATATTTTCTTATATTGCATTTTTTCTTCCCACTCCTTCCGTGACCGAGTTCAAGGCCATTCTAATTTTTTCCTTCACTTCGGTTTCTACCCCGCCTAAGTCGAATTTTATTTCCACTCTCGATTTTTTTCACCTAAAATTTTACGCATGATTTTGGGAGATGTATTTACAATTTTGATGAAGATAATGAATTTTTGCATGAATGAGATGAAATGCTGGTTCAATATAATATGGTGGAAAATGCCTAGTTGAGAAAATTAGTCAAAATGAAAGAAAAATGGGATTTGGTATATGATCATCAAATTTTGTGTGTTGATATTACGACAATACAATGTAGTGAAACTATTAATAGTGTCGTTAAATATATGTCAGTTTGAAGAACAACTTACAGATATTTTTTAAAAAGTTTGAAAATATGATCGAATTTCGTCGATATACACAGTTGCAGACCAATCTGAAAGCATGTACCGGTGAACCTGTTCTCCCAATGTCAATTCAGCTACTGGACATACCGTAAGTGTGTATACCCCAAAAGTATTTAAAGTATTCCAAAAGAAATTGAGGAAAGTGTATAATTGTGTAAGAGTTGTTGGAACACATGAAACCATTACAAAATATTAGGTTAGGAATCTTGAGAGTTTGGGGTACCATTTTGCCAAATACGATACACCAGATGGGATAATTGCATGCAGTTGCAAGAAATTTGAATTTTTTGGGATATATTGTTTTATATGGACAAAAAATCCTCACCAAAAATAATGTTTTGAAGATCCCCAATCAATATATAATAAAGAAGTGAACAAAAGATGCAAGGATAGGTGTTTCGCATAGTGAAATATATCCGGAAGACCACAGTATGGATGACCCAAAGAAAGAGTTGAGGATTTGAGTCTTTTATGCAATAAACTAGGATCAATAGCTTCGGAAAGTAAGGATCATATGAATTTTCCAGAGATACTGTGTTGAGGACTGTTGAAAAAGTGAGTAAATAATTATATAGCCGAAAGGAGCATTGTGTTGGATCATCTATAAATGAGGTTGATAATGTTAGCATGAACAAAGAAGACAACATTTTTTTGAAAGGTGTAAAGAACACAAAAAAGATACGTTCGGATAAAAAGTCCAAAACGCGAATTGGAAAGAAACACGGTAAGGACGATAAGGAAAAAAAATAATCCGAAGTTCGAAGACATAAATGTTAAGTTGAGACTCAGGTGCAGACTTGTTACTACAATGTAAATCTTTATTTATTGAAAAAAAATTTTCATAAATTTATTTTCTCTAATCATTAATGACGTTTATCTAGTACCTGGTAGTAGCTCCGTAGTCTTATTAGATCCCTTCAAAATAGGTTTGTGTGGGAAAAAAAATCATATTTTATTTGTAATAATTTTGATATAATTTTGTTTCAACTTTCTCTATTTTAGATTGCATTACTAATCCAATACCAAGCATACGAGCCAACTTATTCCATGAAATTCAGCAAGTTGCTTAAGGTATCTTTTATTAAAATTAATTAATTTACTACCTTTCGCTAAACCTTTTTATTATGCATTGACTTAGGTTCAATCATCGTGTATCGGTGGTGAAATCCGTGATTATCATCATCTGTAGCACAGTTGAATTCGGATATGGAATTATATGGTGCTTATAATTGAGAGTAATAGTTTGGATCTTATTTGTCCCATCTTTAATAGTAAGTGAAGTATATAGTAGAAAAAGTGGAAAAA